GACGACGAGCAGTGTTAGCGGATATAGGGTCAGGCTGGAAAAAAGCTAGCTATGGTCAAACAAAAACTTGGCACCAGTCAATGAAATCTACAACAGTTGGTCTAAGCCACGTAGGAAGGTGTAGACTGGCTTACTGGTTGGGGTCCTCGGGACGGTAAAAACCAATGGTTGGAAACAATTGGTGACATGGCTGAAAATCGTTCTCAGTGGCGCAGATGCATTCACTCCTTGTGACTTATGATCTCCAATGAAACTGTTTTGTTTTTCTTTATTACTCCTTTGTCTCACACCTCTGCTCACTGTTTCTATTATGCTTTTCTTGTACTTTCTTCTCTTGCTTCGCGTGCTACACGGAGTGTGGCGACTTGAACTGGTGCACATTTGTGCAAAGTTCTATGTCGAAAACAGGCAGACAGAGAGACACCACGAAGAAAGATGCTCCACACATTAATAATAAAACAACATAGATTAAAAATTAAAATATAAGTAGAAAAAGGATAAAGAACTTCGTCTGGAAGGATGCCTTACAAGTTCAAACAGTATTCGTTGACTATCATCGGGAAGGGAAGAAAGACACGTTCGCCATTGATCACGATTCTTGGCGATATCCGATAACGTTTCGAGCTATCTCTCGGACCCCAACCAGTGAGTCGTGACACACCAACCGATGCTAATCTAGCACAAGCATCCTTCATCCCACGACGCCACATCATGGACTGACCACCACCCCTCCGCCTTTTCCATTCCGTCCCAGGGCTGGCTAGCGAACAGAGACCTGTACGGAAGCCACTGGAGTCGGTGTTTCCGGATGACGACACTCAATGAATAGTGATCTCCACTATGTGTTCAAACACACGCCGCTGAATCTGAGAACTACTACTCACGCGATGATGATGCCATGGAACGCAAGCAATCCTGCGGAGACAGCGATGATCGAACACACAGATTCGTCGCCGCACATCCTCAGTCTAATCGGAGAGGCCAGGTTTCACAGGCGTAAAGCAAGACAGCCCGCACCGAAGCATTGTATACCCGACCTTTGACAGTCAGGCTAACGTCGCGACGGCGTCAGAGGTGGTGGCTCGAGTTGATGTATGCCACCACCCTAGCCTTCATTATACACGGTTGAAAATCTCATCCGTCACCCCTCCGCCAGCAGCACTCACTCACACAACTACCCAGATACACAAACTTATCAACAACTTCAAGCGAATCATCCACAAGAGTGAATGCAGGTAATAATGAAAAGTAAAACCGACTACTATATATAAAGTTGTCTGTGTTAGTAGTAGAGATGATGAAAAAATAGACAAACACACAAAAAAAACAGAAAACTCTTTACTTGTTTTAATACTTCTCATCGTTGTTGTATTGATGCACAACAAATACCATTGTACTCACAAATAGACACAGATAGGTTACTAAAATTAAACCATTGTATAACAGCAGTCAGTTTGGTTATTACACAGCAACTGATAATCTCGTTTTTATTGTACTTGTACAAATCACACTAAAGTTGATTGGTTGACTAGTAAAGTCATAAAATTCTCACAAAAAGAAACTACTATTTTAAACAGTTGAATGTAAGCAACATATTTCATGTTGTGTGGATTCGTCTGAGAAACGGCCTTCATTTTATCACCCATGGCTTTTATTTTTTCATTATTCATTTATTATAACACAAAATTGGTACATTATGGGCACCAAACAGATGCGCCACACAAAAACTCAAGGTCTGTACAACGACTAGGAGACTTACAATAAAGGCTTTTTTTGTATTTCCCAATGAATGAAAAATAAAACGATATTGTCGTTGTTTTTATTGACGTTTCGCTGTTTAATGCTGATGCTAATAGCTTTATCAAAGTAGTATTATTAAACCGGAATTTACAAAATCCACTCAGTATATATATATATAACAAAGAGTTAAGGGTGAGAAAATAGACTACTTAGGTCAAGTTAAAGGTCAGGCATATTGAAAGTCAAAATAACAATGAAGATCACTAACTAAGATAACTAATCCTTACATACCAAACTATAGAAGATCACTAAACCAAATAACAAAGTTAATAGTACGTCTGTTATGGTATCAAAACAAAGTTTACTAACTTGATCATCGTTCGTCAGTCTGGGGGTGATTTTTTGTTGTCAAGTTGTTCAACTGGTAGAGACAACAAAACTAAGTGTAGATCAACAAAATCAACACAGACATATTAAGTACGGCCGAAAACGCATTCCGAAAACATGGACATCAACGGTCGTCATTCCATATATACCATCAGATACGTCAGACGATATCAGAAGAGCACTCAATAAGCTTGACATCAGAGTTTTCTTCAAAACATCAGGCACACTTTAAAGCAACCTTGCCCATATAAAAGACCAAATCCCGAAAGATTCTCTATTTAATTGTGTCTATAAAATAAAATGCTTACTTGGAATGTGATGCGATATACATCGGACAAACATCGCCAAGGAGAAATCAAAATCAGAAGAAATGAGCACTGTAGAGCATCTCTTCAACCACCAAGAAATCCAGTTGATTTAGAAAAACTTGAAAAATCGTCAACACACTATGGTAGAATAAGTCCACAAAATTGATTTTGACAATACTGAAATAATCCAGAAAAAAGATTTCAGAAATTACAAAGAACGTTTAATATCAGAAACCAGCCATTCATATCAAAGTGGAATCCAAATTGTCTAAACTGAATAGGAATGATAGACTAAAGCAGTATCTGACCTGGTTACAACACTTCCCTCCCCCATGAAGTGGCGAGATCAACACAAATGTGATAAACAAGTTCACTATGTAAACACACACTGCTTTTATAATTCTACACACTGATCAAATCCAACAATCTACACTTGATTTTGTTATCTTTACCAATTGGTCAACCTGACAACGAAAAATGACCCCAGACTAAAGAACGATGATCAAGTTAGTGAACTTTGTATTGTTATCATAACAGATGTACTATTCGGTTTAGTGATCTTCATTGTTGTTTTGACTTTCATTATGTCCTTTCAACTTGACCTAAGTAGTCTATTTTCTCACCTCTTAACTCTTTTTATATATAAGCTGAGTGGACTTTGTAAATTCCGGTTTAATAGTACTTTGATAAAGCTATTAGCATCAGTATTAAATAGCGAAACGTCAGTAAAAACAATAATATCGTTTTGTTTTTCATTCATTGGGAAATGCAAAAAAGCCTTTATCATAATGAATATCATATACCCAATGCCCAAATTTTTTCAAACCGTTAAATGTGAACTTGGTTCGGACATATATGACTAGGAGACTTACTACCTGGATGTTATCATTGAGACGGGTGGCCACCCTTTGAAGCGTTTGACTTTAGGTCTAATCCACGAGGCGGTGGAGTAGCGTCACGAGTTACGTTCTCTTGGTTGCTGGTGACCAAAACAAGTTCCGATTCTAAAGCCTATATACACTGCCGATTTGAAACCGGGTTTCTTCAGTTCCCCTAGGTAGAATTGCGTGTCTATCACTCTAGTTGTAGGCGTCAGATCTTCTCACTAGCCCTTTCGCTTTAGTGAGGAACATTCCATCGGCCCCGTTAAGGCAATGAATGAGACTTACACCTATCGGAGGCGGGCTGTGAACACGTGGCTACATGAGAGCATTCAAAGACGAAGACTAAAGTCTATTCATACTCGATCGTATCAAGTGCTTTATAGGGCTGCATTATGGATAAGATTTTATTATGATAAATCACACAGTGGTGTTATACAGTAATATTTACTCATAACAACGTTTCGAGCACAAACTGCTGCTCATGATCATATCAAGTCACACACACACACACACACAACTTTTTTCTTTCATTTATATACATGTGTGGAATTGACCGGATATTAGAATAAAAATCAATATGGGATAATGTACATTCAGAAATAATAATATGAGTGTTATTGATCGATTACAATCAGATGCGAAATAAGACGAGTGTTTTTCTATAGTCATAATAAGTAACTTGTTAGAATGTTGTGATGTGCTTGAATTGAAATAGAATTTTGAGGTTATTTATTATCCTCTTCTGATTTGACTGGTGGTAATCATATCTTCCATATCTGTGGTATTTACATTGAGTCATTTCTGTTGCATGTGTTGGGTATAGACTCAATGAACCAGGATTACTTCTTAGAATCTTAACCCTCTCCCACCCACCCTATTGTGTGATTGTGTGTTAATGCATGTAGTGCAATGCACTGCTGAGCTTTTTTCTAAATTACTCATCGTTTCGGGTCAACCATTCTTACCTTAGATAAATTCTAATGTTCCGACAATCTGATTACCCTTGATCTACTAGTTTGACCTATATAGTTGACCTAACTTGCAGTGATTGCAGGGTATTTTGTAAATTATATTATCTTGTTTAATTGGGTCCATCGGGTATTTAAGCCTACAGAGTTTGTCCTACCTGAGTGAGTTTGTAGCAGGGTTTGAATGCCACCCTAATTCCCGCTTTATTAAGAATCCCACATGGGAAGGGTCTCAGATGTGTCCCCTCCTTATATGGTATAACAGTAGATGCCTTATATTCTCTCTTATTAATGTTATCATTACTAATTTAACAATTATTTTTATTTTGCTTTTGGTCTTTACTGATCTTCCTAATGAATTTTATAGGATTGTTAGTTATTTAACACCAACGCCTCTTCTGTCTGTTTTATTTCATCATTTAGGTCTTTTCTTGTGCTACTTAGTGCTATGGCTCGGTTTGTTAGACACTTAACTAAGCCGTCTGCCTTTGCAGATAGACAACGGATGGGATGAATTAAAGTCTATTAATGTCTATTAGCAGAATGCTTTTGTTTTCTTATAAACGCTAGTGTGTAGTTTACCTTCTTCTATTCTTTTTATTTTACAACGACTCACTTAATAAGCATTGAAGAAGTAATGCTAAGGCTTTACTTTCTATTCCTCTTTATCTCGCCTGCACCACCTGGTTTAATTATTTTATTATATTATATAGAGGATACATGCTACTAAAGTCAGTTGGTCTGAATCAACCTATGATGTTATTTTGGATATTGGCCCAGTTTCGGTTAGTATGCGTGATCCACGTACTGGTGAAGTTTGGAAAACGTATACATTCAAAGATATTGAATGTGTCAGTAAGGTAAGTTGAATTATTTTATTTTATTTTCTGTTTGTTATTCATTTCATTCACATTCTGGTGAACTGCAATGTCTATTTCGAATATATAAAGGCGGGTGGGGGTAGGGGAGAACATTTTCTTCACTGTCATACATATTTGTTTTTCAATAAAGCAAGAACAACGGGGCTTTGTGCAGTATGAAGCGGTACCATCATTTATTTCATTGGCCTATCATCAACTGATTAAAAATGCTCATTAAAATGCTTTCAAATGAATGGATACTGAACAAAGAATACTCTTTTCGATAACCTCTTCTTCATCAGGCTCTACAGTTATATATGTACATTATAGTGAATGAATGAATGAATGAATTAGTGTTATGAACAACATTAACAATAAAGAAGATCAGTAGCTCAGGTGGGGATGATTTGTAATTAATAGTGTTCTCTGAGGAGCTGGTTGGTTTAGTTGTGGAGCTTTCGTCGTCCCCCCACCCCACTGCTGGACGGCATCCCCTTTTAGAGCAATATTTGGCATAAAATGAAATGATTTAAATTTCTTCATGAGTGAGTGATATAATTGCGTCTCCCGATGACCAACCATCTTTACATATGTATTGACCATTTTCTGCTGACTTGGATTTTAAACTTTCTCGTCACATGATTTACTTTTTATTATTTGGTGGTATATTTGGTCTATATTAACGTGTTTCCTCTGTCTAAAATTTCGACATTATCCCAATCAAACTGATGTCCATAATTGTCTATGTGCATTGATACGAAACAGGAATATATATCGTGTCTTTTCACAGCTGATTTGTGATCCTGGATTCTGATTCGAAGGGGACGGACGCCCATTTCGACCACCGATTTAATGCCTGTTACAGTTCATACATGTAATTTACTTTGTAAATGGTGGATGGGTTTTTCGGTTTGCATAATATCGAATGAAGCGATTTGACTGGCTGGCTTGTGTGATATATCTATATCAAACGGCTTCAGTATTCTTGCTGTTATTTCAGAGATATTTCTGATGTAATGTAGGATGAATTTTCTTGTGGTCTTTGATGATGGTTCCTTGTTGGTGTTTTGATTCGACTTTAAACAATTTTTGATGAAATTTTGTGGATAACCATTCTTTTTGAAGACGGTTGTTAATAGGTATTTTTCCTTCATTCTTTTCAACTCTGGAGTACTGGACGTGTATGTTTGAACTCTTTTAAACAATGTCTGCACACAGTTTCTTTTGTGAATGATTAATTGGATTGTTACTAGTGTAGTTGTTTAAATGTTTAAATAATATCGAATAAATAATATTGATAGATTACAGCTCACTAGCTTCAACATAACAATAAACTGAATGTCAGAAAAATTAGGAAAGATAATATCATAAAATCATGAATTTATAGTCTCTACTGAAGGCTGGCTATGGCAGTAGAAGTGGCTGGCTGGACTTGCTTCTTTTGAACATAGAGCAGTGTAAATGAATTATTAAGTTTACGCAAAGAGCAGTCTTAATAATAATAATAATAATTATAGCAGCTCTATTCCAAACAGTATTCGTGGTACAGTTATGGAATTTTCCGCGTGCATTACAATATATTGCATCTAATCTAATTACCTCATAAATTTTATAAGATTTTAAAATCAAAAAGCATTACACAAAAAAGAAGATAAATGAAAAAAATAAAATAAAAAGAACAGCGTTGCGTTTACATTTTAAACAATACACCACAGGATATGAAATATAAAATTGGTGTGTAATAGAAGATGACCTCAACAGTGTGTAATAGTAACGAGGAAAGGAGAACAAAAACTAATGGGACTATTTGTTAGAATGCCGTGCGGTAAGTTGATCGTGTCATACCTAACAGATTTCTCATCACATAACACCTGTGCCAGATATGGTATTATGGAGTTTTTGTATTTGGTAGTCCTAGCATATAGCCAGCCTCCTATAGCTGCTTCTAGTTCTTCCAGATGAAATACAAGGGGAGACAGCTGCGTATATAGAGAGGATTCTCGGGGTCTGACAACAATAACATGCAGGTGTTACAAACTATCAGTTAACAAGAGACTGACTCCAAGTTTAATCAGTAGGGCACAGAAGTTACACTCATCTAGCCTATATCCTGAAAGTTCAAGTTCAAACGAAAAATAAGTGCTTGGATACCACGGTAGAAGAGTTACGTGATGAAGACAAAAGGTGTATAAATTGATGAGTAACCAAAAAAAAGAAAAAACTGATTGACGATGCGGTGAGTCCAATTTAAATCATCGAAATAAAAGAGACAAGCAGTTACACACTATATAAGAGGGAAGAGGGGTTAAAGCCCAAGATTACGTAGTCAAATGAAAGAGAGAGAGAGAGTGTGTGTGTGAATACATCCAGTTGCCAGTGCAAGGAAAGACTGATAACTGCTTCTTCTTCTTCTTTCTGAACACACATAAATCGGATTTCAGGCGTCCGATAAAGATTGTTTTGGTGAACTCAAAGAGAATTGAGCTGTTTTTCTTTTTTTGTCTATTGATAACTTTAAAGGAATTCGCGATTTCCACCTCATGACCACCCGTATTGATGACATATTTTTGTCTGATAGATTGTATTTCTTTTACATATATCTATCTCTTCATCTAGATAAATGATATTCCTAATTCAGTGGCTATTGTTCATGGTGGATTTGGACATATTGTAAGTGAGTGTTTTTTTTTAATTTTTCTGTGTCTGTAAGTTTATCCATGATTAGTACGAATGACCCTTTTAAGTCATCTGTTCAATGGCATAAATTCCCTGTTGTTATTTCCTAATGTTGACTGACCAAGTTAAAGTATAACGAGTGATCCGTGAGTGAGAACACACCAGTTACTTTGAAAGGGTACTGTTCGTCGGATAACAGGCAGGATCCACTATTATTTTAGGGCCACTATGAAGGAATTGAGATGGAAAATTTCATCCCGATCTTATTTCTAAATACTATTTGGATAATGGGGTTGATAGTTCGTTAGGCTTAGTGTCAGGATCAGAGTTAAGGCGTTTTACTTACATTCTCTGCATTTTTTTTCTGGTAAATAGCGTTGTCCGTCTGCATACTAGAACCCGTATTAATTCAATAGAGAGCTTTTGGAGAAGATTTAAAAACAGGATGAGAGCGATAAAGTGGGTCACAAAAAGGGCTTATCTTCAGTCAATTCGATAAGTACATGTCCAGAGTAAAAACCACTGGGTTTAATGATTGGTCACTTCAAGCTGGTCAGTTGTGCGTTGGCGTCCCATGGATCGTTACAGTTTAACTTTGCCATTTTAGTATTATTGTTCCTTTGGGTTCTGTGGGGGAGGGGGGGCAGCTTAGGGCTTCAACAACACATCTCTACTTGCTTCAGTTTTCTGTCATCCTCTTCAGCTGGGTCCATGATTGACCATAATCTCTCATGATCTCCTCCATGTCACTCTCACACCGATGACCACCCACTCGTCGCTTCCCATTTGGATTTCACTCGAGGTTGTGGTGCGCCATGTCATTCGACGGTTTCCTGAATGTATGCCCTATCCTTCTCCATTCTCCCCTACATATTTACAAGACACAAAATAATTGAGCCATCAAAGAATATCCTTTTCGATAATTTCCTTCTCTTCTGGCTCTACAATTATATATGCATGTTTACATACACACAATATTCTAGATCAGTAGTCAATACCAATATTAGTGTTTTTTTTAAATAATATCGATTTGCTAAGTAAGATCACAATGGAATTACCACAGTTCATTAAAGATGCTTAAATTATAATGATAATAAACATATAATAGCAAATAGAATATCAACTAAAATTAGGAAATTGCACAAAAATTTAGGATCATTCACACCTAGATGGCCAACGAGGTAAGGATAATGTCTGGACTAACTTCTTTCGGGCGCACAAATTAGGACGCGATATTTAGTAAACGAACTCCTAAGGTGAAATTGAGATTTGTTGGTAAATGACTTTGAAAGCTGCCTGCCTTGTTGACATCAATCTTGTGTTCTGTATCCACAAGATGAGACAGAATAGCGTTGCGAATAGATTTCGTTTGTCCTTTGCTTAACCAACCACTATGCAGGGTGATGTTCAGAAATTCGAAGAGAAATACGCCCAATTGTACGGCGTATGCAACTAACTGGCTCACTTCACAAGAGCAGTTAAATTTTTGGTAGATACACATGGAAGAGGCGAAATTATGCAGTTTGTCTTTTACTCCCGAACGCGAAAGAGGAGTGGCTTTGAAGACACAGCGTAATTCGGCAGTGGGGAATAGTCTTCGCTTTACCGCCTCATTTCTAAGGCGTTGTGTTAGTATCTCGCTGATGTGGACGTGACAGCTACGAGCTACATCCCCTTATCAAGTAGTAGGTGTGCACTAAGGGAGAGCTTAAGTGTAGTATGAAGCAAGTGTTGTTTAAGTGTCCTTTCTTACATCCTATAATTTTGTGATTGATAAATATTTTAACCCTACTTTCAATTAAAATATCTTTTATGTTTTTGTTTTTTTCATCGTCTGTAGCACATATTCCTTACACGTGAACCAGATAATCTAATCCGTGAGATCAATAAATCTGCTCAGGCCAACTTATCACTTACATTCAGTCAACCTAGGAATCCGTTAACACGAGATTATTGTACAGAATATAGACTGGGTAAAATCAGGTGAGTAGGATAAGCTAGCTAACTGTACCCTGTCTCTCTCTCTCTTTATTTTCTTTAATTCATGGAAAATTCCCATTGTAACATATAGAAAATCAAATCAGAGAAAAGACTGTTTTCAACGACGAACTTTTTAACAATCTGTACAATCGTAGTAATATACATGCTTTTTAAGAAGTTATATCCGATGAGTGCGTTGGTGGTACAGCGGTTAGGATGCACATGGTCCGGGGTTCGATCCCTGGCCGACGCACTTCCTTACTTCGCTAAGCCAGTAGTAAAACTGGTAAAGAGGGAAGGTTGGGCATGAGGCTAGCAACCCCATGCTGTAAGAATAAACACTGCTACAGAAACTTCAAGCCTCCAGCTTGAAGCCCTATGTTCCACTGGGAACATGAAGGAAATAAAAAAAAATAGCCGATGAGGGAATTCAATCATAGGTGTGAATGTAAAAATAATAATAGTAGTAGTGTGGTGAGAGCAGGCTGCTAGCCGATTGATTGACACTAATCTACATCAATGTCTAGGTCACTAATATGGGCCGTGAGAAAATATGAACAAGGCTGTTTCAACAACCAATCACAGCAAACTTAAATGTGGATAGATAGATGGCTCTACTTTCCGAGAAATATCGAAAACGACCAATCATAAGACTGTGTTTGTCTGCTTAACTTCCGAGAAACAACCAATCAGAAGACTGCCTTTTTCTGCTTGCATAAGCCTTATTAATGCACATAAAATATATATAAATACGTGTTGATTTTCGTAATAAAACGATCTGTTGCCAGCCCTTGTCTTCTGTTGTTACAGTAGTAGTAGTAGTATGAAATGCAATTAAAACTAAAATGTTTGTGATTAAAATCATCGTTAAATATCAACTGGCGAAACAATTAATGTCATATATAGAATAACTCGTCGGATGTATAGAACTTGGAAGGGGTGTGCAATTATAGGATTAGTAGGTAAATCAAATGAAATAAAAACGTTACGTAATATTGTGCGAAATTTGGCAAAATGGAATTTTGTATGGAAGATTTCATCATGAGCTGACATCAGTTAGAGAACCACTGGAAAACCAAAGAGTACTGGACAGCCGTTTCGTCAGTCTAGTTTGGGACTCTTCAGCAGTATACACCCACCGGGGCTTGAACCCAGGACCTTCTGGTTACAAGGCGAGCTCGTAGGCCATTAGGCCATTGAGCTCACTAGCGACTGGTCCTATTCAGGCAGTTAACCTGGGGTTCTAGTGGGAAGCCGTGGCCATTAGGGTATAGCAGGTCGGAGATGAGGCAGTAACTCATCGAAAAAGACATTTTTTATTATTATATAAGCTTTATTCCAAATCAGTACTTGTGATACAGAATGGAATTCTCAGCATTTTACTACAATATTGCATCCAGTTTTTACATTAACAATAAATAAAGTTCTACATAGATTAAAGATTATCTCAACAACATATTAGTATGTCGGTAGCAAAGCCAAAATTAAAATGTTTGAAGGTGTTACAAAAGTAGATACTACTAGCATATTTACTGGCGTAAGCGATAGCAAAATGGTCGAGATATACAGAGTGTAAAAGAACGAACAAGAATGTTTTAAGTAGAGTTTGCAAGGAAGAGAAAAACAAAACAGCACTTAACAAAAATAAAGACAAAAAGAGAGAATGGAAAAGAGAGAAAACGTTGTACCTATAAATGATGTGAGTTGGAAAGACGAGATTCATTGGTTCTAGTGACTATTTAATAAGTTAAAGGTTTCATGCCTGATGCATTCTTTATCACACAGAACACGGGCTAGGTAGGGTATGGATGAGTTTTTGTACTTACTAGTGCGGGCATATAGTTTCCTATATAGACTTCTTGTTTTCCCTGAAGAGATACATGGGGAGAGTTGTGAGTGTAGAGGGTGTTGTGAGTCAGATAAAATGGACTTCGCCCATTTTTCACATGAGTCCATGTGCCTGTCCACCAGAATGTTAACAAGCTGGCTAAGTGGCAAACTGCTTACCCTGCTGACAACCTTTAACATCCTACGTAATAAGGTATAGTCTTTCTTCAATAGCCCAGGAAAGACTAAGGGGGAGCAATAGAGAATTATAGGCAGAATACGGGAGTTAACAAATTGTAGTAGTAAGGGTTGGGTTACACCAGAATGTCTTAACTTCTTGATGTAGAAGGTAAGACGGTATATTTTCTTGGAAATCGTCAAGATATGAGACGACCAGGAAAGATCAGAAGATAGAGTGACGCCTAGGTATTTAATTTCCGACTTAGTTTCTATTTCAGTGCCATCTATGTTGCACACCTCGTGAGCGCTAACCAGTTTGTTTAGGTCAGATTTATGCCTAAAGGTGAAATTAACTGTTTGGCATTTGGAGGGGTTTAAGGTTAGACCGTTTTCCTTGGACCATTGGCTAATTTCTGATAAGAAGCCATTTAGTTTAGAGCAGTCATTTTGACATTTGACAGGTAAAGATACAGTTAGGTCATCAGCATATTTGACAAAGTTAATATCATTTGAAGACGGTAGGTCATGTAGGAAGAATGAAAAGAGAAGTGGGGAGAGTACAGCACCTTGGGGGACACCAGATTCAGTGAGCACAGCAGAGGAGGATTGACCTTTGTATACGGTGTACTGCATTCTGTTTGAAAAGTAGGAATGCAACCACTTAGTGACCCAAGACTCGGTTTGTGTCGTGGAGAGCTTATTTAGCAAGAGACTTCTAGGTACAGAGTCGAAAGCAGAAGTAAAGTCAAGAAACGTGCAGCGGACATATTTGGCACCTTTGTCTAATGATGAGACAATACTGTTGTGTAAGACGGCTGCAGCGTCTAAAGTACTCCTACCCTGTCTGTAGGCAAATTGTTTGGGGTCTTCGAAGCTTTTAAGGGAGGGTTCGAGTTTAAGAAGTATTAGTTTTTCCATGAGCTTTAGAAACGGGGAAGTGATGGCGATGGGTCTGAACTTTACGTTCTTGCTATTTCCAGGTTTAGGGACAGGGACTATTTTAATGTCTTTCCATGGAACAGGTACAACGTTTTCGGAGAAAGAAGCATTTAGGATATTAGTTAGAGGAGAACATAAAGCATCTGCACATTGTTTTAGGACATATGCAGGTATGCCATCAGGGCCAAGACTATGTGAGGGCTTAAGAGTTTTAAGACATTTCAAAACATCGAGAGTATTGAAGTCCTGGAAGTTATCAGCTACAAGATTGGTAACATTAGAAGTGGTTATGGTAGAAGGAGAGCGTATAAAAGACAGATTAAGAGCATTAACATCACAAGAGGGAAAAACATTACATCGCTTACTATTGCCAGTAATTTCATTGAAAAGTTTCCACATGCTGTTTGGAGATTTGCATGATAAAAGTGTTTGGTTATAGATAGCATTAAGATTTTTGATTTCAGATTTGATTTGAGCATTTATCTTTTTAAGTCCTAACTTGTCTTTGCATTTATATAACATTTCTTTTTGCCTGCGAAGTTGTTTGAGATGGGGAGACGAAAAGCGGTCGAGGCGTTTGAACAGTGTTTGTTTGGGACAGCATATGTCAAGGCAGAACTTAAGATAATCCATTATATTGGTGATTGAGTCATCTAATGTACTTTCATAGAATAGATCCCAGTTGGTATCTTTTAACATGCATCTTAGATTGAGTAAGTTGTCAGATGTGTAGCTTCTTTGTTGTGCCTTCGTGGACAGGTGTGAGAAGATTTTAATATGTGTTTTGCTGTATATTTTTGGCAAAACGCGGACAATGCAGTGATCGGAGTTATGTATCGGTGAACGTCTACGTGTTTCATATACTCCTTCATCATTGGTAAAAACCAAGTCAAGGGTTTTGTCAAGTCGAGTGGGAAATTTGACTATATTTGTGTGACCAAGAGCTTCAAGAAAGGAGCAATCTGATGTGTTGAAGTCTCCAGTAATAACGGATAGAGAGTTGTCGAAGTTGGCAGCAGCAAACATGGTGAATTCATCAGCAAAATTAGATAGATCAGATGGAGAGCAACTAGGAGAAATGTACATGTTTGTAATATAGAATTGTTGATATTTGGGGAGGTGTTTGGGGCGACATTTGACAGTAATACAGTCAATGAAGTCATTTGAGAAGGTGAAGCAGATGTTATTTGAGACAGACCATTTGGAGTGAATAAAAGTTGCAACGCCACCACCATTTTTCTTATTACAACATTGACGGTCTTGTCGAAATAAAATAAAGTCCTTTAGTGAGATAAGGTTGTCATCATACAGTTCATGCAACCACGTTTCTTGTAATGCGATTATGGCAGTGTTATGATACGTATCAGTTGACATCAGGGATTGTAGATACATTATCTTATTTGGTAGAGAGCGACAGTTTGAGTTCATTATGACGGGGACCGTAGTTAAGTGTATTGGTGTACGTTTGAGAGCTCTCTGCCAACCACTACGATGTTTCCTTCTTGGTTTCTTTGGAATATGAAAGTCATTTGGTCGTAAATTATTAATAAAGTTACGAGAGTAAATGATTCTGTTAGAATTCATATTTAAGTGATAAGTGTATGCTGGTAAACAGGAAACTGGATGCAAAATGTAGATATTTTGGTAGCAGGCCCAAAAATTCAACAGGCCGCCAAGGACATTGCGAAATGGTCACGCTGTGTCGTGAATTGGCATAAGTTAGAAGTCAAGAACCATTGGATGGGGTCCCATTGGCTCAATATTCTACGAACTCGCCTTGTAACCAGAAGGTCCTGGGTTCGAACCCCGGTGAGGTGGGTGCGTACTCCTGCAGAGTCCCAAACTAGGACGAAACAGCTAACGAGTACTCCCAGGTTTTCCAGTGTTTCTCTAACTGATGTTAGCTCATGATAAAGTCCTCCGTATAATCAAACAAAATCCCTACAAAACCAATAGAATTTGAACATAGAATTTAACGTTGGAAAACAGAATTGATTCAGAATGACAAGTGGATCAAGTGAAATAATACCGGGGACAGTTCAAAGTGAGAGTTGTAATAGTAAAAATTGACGTATTAAGGCAGAGACTACAAATTGAATAGAGAAAATGAAAAAATAAAAAAATTGGTAGAGCTAAAATATGATTAGGGATTACCATACTTTAGCACAGAGGGATTAAGACACCATGAAAGTTGGAGGGGTTGAACGGACTTTTTCTGTACACAGAGCTCTGGCTTTTCTGTTTCGATAGCCAAAGGTGGCTTCAACAATACAGATGAGTTGGGTACGTAGGGATTTGGGTAAATTACTTTTTGCCTTGTAGATGACTTTAAAGTCGGGCGCTATAGAGATAGAGTGATCATTATCGATCAGATGTTCAATGATCGCGCTTCTAATCGCTCCACTTCTACCTCTTCGTAACCACCAGCAGGATAGTGTTCTTGCACCCTCTTGGATAAAAATCGAGTCGAATGACCGATATTTCTGGCTCCACACTAGCAGGTGAATTAATAAATGCATATAGTGTCGGTCAACAGCAGGATCCTTCACGTTACTGATCAGTAATGGTCGACTGGTAAAAGGCTATTCTCAACGATGCAGCAGGTAATGTTCTTTTCAGGGACTGTGATATCCTTCTTTTCATGATATCGGAAGCTAAGTCCCCTTTGAATTCCAAGCTGATATACAGTATTTTCTTCGGTGCGGATGATAAGTCACGTTTTATAGGGTTTGAATGTGTATTCGATTCGCCTACTAATCTTATAATTGCACACCCCTTCCAAGTTCTATACATCCGACGAGTTATTCTATATATGACATTAATTGTTTCGCCAGTTGATATTTAACGATGATTTTAATCACAAACATTTTAGTTTTAATTGCATTTCATACTACTACTACTACTACTACTATTATTATTTTATACATTCACACCTATGATTGAATTCCCTCATCGGATATAACTTCTTAAAAAGCATGTATATGCCTACGATAGTGCAGCTTGATAAAAAATTCGTTGTTCGAGGGAGTCTCTCTTCACTGAACCACCACTTGTTTTGATTTTCTCCATTTTCTGTTAAAAATTATGGACTGGAGTCCCAGCCTGTATACTGGGATTTATTTTCGGTGGTTAGTGTTATCACTCCTTATACAGTTGTAGTAAGTTTAGGTTATTTATTATCAGTGTACACAAACGTCTGCATCATTGTTGAGTACATAGTGTGGCATCAATCCTTGGCTTATTCTGTTGGAAGTCCGTATGATCTGTATAATCAATCTAGTACAATTCTCCACAGGTCTGTCAGCTTTTTATGTCATAATATTATTATTGTTCATTCTTTGTGTTCCGAGTAGAACGCAGGGTCTCAGAGGCGCATCTCCATTGCACTTGGTCCCCTACTATCACTTTCAGCTGGCTAGTCCATGACTGTCCACAAGTTTTCATAGCTTCTACCAGATAAGTTCTATTGGTTGTCTTCGTGCGCCGGTGATGTTCCTTACAAAATGACATGTTCAATGTGGACGTTTGGCCCTTATGACTGAACCGATGGACATTCTGGTCTAACTAAGGGTTCTGGAGAACCCTAACTCCAATGCTATGGTTTAGATGGACCTCAGAATGTGAACAGATCGAATGGTGTATGAACCTGTTTTGTTCACCATAAACCATGGGAACGCATTCCCTGACGCTACTTCACTACTTTGTGGATCAGACTTCAAGCGGAAGACTTGGGAATCGCCCCTTAAGACAACCACCTGCTTTGGTCCAGCGGTCCGGGCAGTATCCTAGCCCTGGCACAAACTGAATTTTTGTGTGTGTGGCGCATCTGTGTGTATTCGCATAATGTAGCAAGCTTGTATTTTAATTATATTAATTCATCTCCTCCCCATAATACAGTCTCTATGTCATATGCACCGACGCCCAACTTGTTGGTTCTCATTCACAGTTTCCACTTGAGGGTCTGGTGGTGTGTGATGTCACTTGGAGGTTTCTGAAGTGAAGTGCGTATCCTATCCATCTCCATTTCCTTCTACTTTCTACTTGTTGGACAACAGGTTCTTGGCTAGTTCGCTAGTTCTCCAAAGTTGTTTGTATAAGCCAGCTCATTTATCCCTTGAATGCTGAAGATGGTTGATTAGTTAGTGCTTCGTTACATATCAATAAATACTAAAAGTTTAACGACTGTTTGTTTATTGCCCAATATTGTTTGTTTTAAGAAAAGAAATCTGACTTTATTTTTTTACTTGTTTCAGTCAAGAGAATATGATATCTCAAGCAGAATTCACTGTCCAGAAGTTCTCTAATCGTTATGGTTCATCAAATCAAATGAAAACTGTTTCACGTCTTATGTGTTTAACTGAAACACTTTTACTGGAAAGAGATCCAACTAGTTATCGTCCAGTTTCAGCTAGTCCACTTTGTGAAGTAAGTTTTGGTTCCACTTTCATACTTGTTGCGCGTTATTTTCGTGTAATGATAACTGGATATTTGTACACGTTCTCCCGTTAAGTTGATATTTGTTGAGTAACACTATAGGAGGAACGGACGAGGATGTCAAATCGAGAATCAGGAAGGCGAGAAACACATTCACTCATCAACCTGAAACCAATCTGGAAATCTTTGTCACTCAGCCAGCATCAACAACAAAATTCGGTTGGATTTCCAATAGAAACGTCAAGTCGGTCAGTTCTTCTATGCGGATCAGAAACTTGGCCGGTCACACAGAAAATTTCCAACAGCCTGTTGTAGACCTTTATCAACCAACAACTGTCTTCGCTCTATACTGAAGATCAGATAGCCTGGCGGGAAAGAATCACCAACAAGAAACTATGGGAACAAACAAAATAAGAACCAATCGCCAACCAACAAATATGCAGGAGAAAGTGGAGATGGATTAGACACCCGCTGAGGAGGGTGCTGGGTGACATCGCCTGTCAGGCCACTGCTCGAGTGGAACCAGGCCGAAAGAGGAAGCGGCGAGTGGGACGTCAGTGCAAGTGTGACGTGGAGGAGATCGTGTGAAGAGGAGTTGAAATAGTATGCACTAACGTGGATTCAGGTGAAAAGTACAGCAAAGTACAGAAACAAGTGGAGACGTGCAGTTGAAGCCGTATGTTCCACTAGGAACCCAAGGGAACAATAATGCAATAATAATAACACCACGCACTAGTCCATCGAGTGAAAACCGATTGAGAAACAACGAGTTGGGCGTCGTCGCTTCAAGGGTCACATGGAGGAGATCGTGTGAGGGGGAGATGAAAGCTTATGGGAAATTGTGGAACCAGCTAAAGAGAATGCAGAGTACAAAATGCAGTGAGGATATACTGTTGAAGTCATATTTTCCCTTCAGAACACAAGGGATTAATAATACAAATGGTCGACTGAATCGATTGAGTAGGTCACGTGAAACTGGTTGCTGACGTAATGAAGACCCTGATGTAAAAGGACTTGTGTGCACTAACTTTGATATCTGATCGCCCGCTGACTTATCGGTTTACTGCATACAGCCACCGAACTGACTAATCATTGTTGACCCACCTTGAGAACCTGCCTATTGATGCGGTTAGTTCTACGAGTGTTAGTCATTGATTGATGATCAAATTCAAAAGTGAGGGAGTTGATATGTAGACAGATAAATGATCGATCACCCTTTATTGGTAGTGATATGGTGATCAAGGTCAATCTGGAAATAGACCAATCAGAGCTAGTCCACGTAAAATAACGCCCAATATTTTATTGATCATGATTACAGATTAATTGACATATCCATGGGGATGTTTTGAATCATTCATTATTACCTAAGATATACTCTGCGAGCCACGTCGTTGCGTGTTCTCGTTTTAGTGGTGCAGGCTGGGGAAACCGATAACTGTCATATAATGTTGTTGGCGCAATCAAGCGGTGATCAACGCGTCAGTGTCCAATTCCGCGTCCATATTTCAATCTCACTGTCGTCATTGCAAAAATATAAAAGTGGTGACATCATAACAGAATGTGAAGTTATGTGGGAATAAAAGTCACTGTGTGATGTTTTCAGGCATATTACATTAAATGCCACAAGAAAACGAAATTGACCGCTTCTGTTCTACCTAGTTTAAGTATGTCGAAACGAAAGTATATCAAGTGTGTTCTGTTATAACTTATATGTTCACTCTAGTTACAAGAGTTCAAATCTGTGAGACATCGATGAAAAATTGACTACTATTTACCTATCCTGTTGACGTTGTTATAGCTTCTTTCATTATTTAAACGTGATTATCAGTATTTTATCTTTGTCATTCTATTGTATTCTATTTTAGCGCTCTTTTTTCAATGTTCAAGTGTTTAATATTCAATGTTCGACTGTTTTTCTCTAACTTTCAGATAAATAGACTTGTTCGTGATCGTTTTCAACCACAAAGATTTTCTATTGAATATGTTCGTGGTAAAATAACAACATATTATTCTACGGATAGGTAATATTCCAGTAATTTTCTCTCGCTTTTTCTTTATAAAACTTGAATTTTATAGGCATTGACGACGGTGAGTAATGCTCGCTATCCTTAGCCAATCATCGTATGATAAACATACAAAGCGTTATTATCTCTGATTGGCTAATAGATTAAACAACTTCGCCCTCTGCCAGTGCTTCCGGTTTCTGCCTATGGACTAATCTTTTCATCCTCACACTTTAAAATACTGACGACACAGACTTTGAGGTGCGTTATAGTTGTGCTGAATAGGTCTATGTGTCTTTGAATCTTGTCTGCCTCAGAAATACGGATGCGTGACACATTTATTACATGGAGACACATGGCTCATTGGTTTAAGTACTCAATTTTTAGCAACAGTGTATCCCAAGTTCGAATCCCACTCAGGCTACATCAGCGTCGAGAGCTAATTAGTAGTATCATTTGTCTTCACACAATATAATTGTGGCTTAAAAGCCTGGTACAAGAGAGGCCGGTCACAGATGGTAAGTGATCTCGAACAGATTATTACAATAGGAATGTGTGCACAACAATGTATCCTGTAAACAAAGAGAGAATGAAGCATACTAAACAGAATTAACGTGTGGAAAAAAATGTTTAACATGAGTCATGTTAACTTACATACACATATATATTTGGGGGGGGGTGGAGTACTCATATGACATGTTCTGTTTGTGAGTCACAGTTAACAGAATGTATTTAAAATATGATTAACTGATTGATTGACTCTGATGCTGTATATATATGGTAGTTTTTGCGTCTAGTTGATGGCTTTTAGTGTGAAGCGTTTCTCCTTGTAGGATTCTGATGGTATACGTGTGTTCCTGAAAAAGTTTCCTAATTAGCGTGTTGTTTGACATCCGCTGAAATTCTGAATAGAGGAATATCGGATGAAGTACCGAATAAGAGAAATGGGAAGGATCTCAATTTTCAATTTAAATATTTTGAACGGATCACAATGTATACCCACTAACCGCATAAAAAGTGATCTTAACTGATCTTACGGCTGTTTCGCTTGTTTGAGGCCGATCTCATCAGTTGTGAACTCGGTTAGACTCAGACAATAGAACTGAACTAGTGGAAGTCAATCACATTTTGTGCTCTGAATAATTCTGGTTCCCAATGAAAACTATGGTGAAATGTATCGCCAGTCCACTGAAGTCCACTTGCGAATTTGTTTCATTGATTAACGTGGAGTCATGTAACTTTGTGTCATGGATATCAATCTATCCACTCAATATTCAACCACGAATTGCCGAAGTTAGAATCCACGCCTAATTGGATTCCAGTCCAAGTGACTGAATAGTCAATGAGCTGACTTTGTAACCTGAAGGCTCTGGGTTCGATACCTAGTAAGTTCATGGGTACGCACGGATGAAGTGTCCCAAGTTAAGACGAAACAGCTGTCCAGTACTATCTAGTTTTTAATCATCTCAAACCGATGGTGGTTTGTGATGAAAATTAGCAATTGAATTTCAATATAGCAAAAATATTCATTCAGACATCTATAAAACACAAAATAATCGAGCAAAGAATATTCTTTTCGATAAATTCCTCTTCTGGCTCTACAATTATATGTGTATGTTTATTTACATAGAATGTTTTAGATTAGTAGCCAATAATAATGTTAGTGTTTTTTAAAAATAATATCGATTTGTAAAGTATGAAGAAGTGTGTATAGGAAACCTACATCAACGGGTCAGTATACTCATTTTCTCAGTTTTGTGCCCTTGAAATACAAACGCAATCTGATAAAGTGCTTGGTTCACAAATCAAGATTAATTTGTTTAGACGAATGTCTTCAAAAGGGACTTAATAATATTAAACGGTTGCTAAGTGAAAATGGTTATCCTGAAAAAGTTTATTGATAAGAATTTGAATCTAAAATCAAAGCAGCCCAAGTTACCTTATTCTTATGAATGCAGTTCCTTGGGGACAACACCAGCGAGATACTAACATAGCGCCTTAGAAATGCGGTAAAGCAAAGAGCATTCCGTGCTGCCGAATTACGCTGTTTCTTTAAAACCAGTCGTCTTTTTGTCTAATTTCGCATCTTCCATGTGTATCTACCAAAAATTTAACTGCTCCTGTGAAGTGAGCCAGTTAGTTGCATACGCCGTACAATTGGGCGTGTTTCTCTTCGAATTTCCGAACATCACCCTGCACAGTGGTTGGTTAAGTAAAGGACAAACGACATCTATTCATAGCGCTATTCTGTCTCATCTTGTGGATACAGAACACAAGATTGATGTCAACCATGCTTTCAGGGTCATTTACCGCATACCTACCAATCTCAATATTGCCTTTGGAGTTCGACTACTAAATATTGCTGAGGCTGGCTGTCGGGATTTGTATTAACAAGCCTAATTTATGCATCTAAAAGAAGTTAGTTCAGACATTATCATCACCTCGGTCATCTAGATTTGAATGATCCTGAATTTTTGTGGAAGTTTCCTATTTTTGTTGATATTCTATTTGCTACTATATCTTTATTATTATAATTATAATTTAAGCATCTTTAATGAACTGTTGTTCCATTGTGGTCTTACTTAACAAATCGATATTACCTAAAAAAACACTAATATTGTTATTAACTACTAATCTAGAATATTCTATGTATATAAACATATAAATATAATTGTAGAGCCGGAAGAGGAATTTATCGAAAAGGATATTCTTTGCTGGCTCAATTATTTTGTGTCTTATAATTGAATTTCAATCACATAGTTAAAAATTTTATGCTCATCATTATAGAGACCGTGTAATTTATTAGTTCGAAGTTTGGTTGCGTCGGTGGCACATTGGTTATGATTCTCGCCGACCATTCACATGGTCCTAGGTTCAATCCCCTGCCGAAGAACACCTGATATCTAAGGTCGACCTGCAAAATTTGGGCTACCGATATCCATCCATGCTGAAAATTCCATACTTGTACCAAAAAAATACAGTGTGGAATCAATATGTCAATCAAAAAATGAAATAAAATAAATTTCTTGTAATGCTTGTAATCGTACATACAGTAATCAGTGAAGCCCGGGAAACTGTTTCGCACATGTAGACTGACGTAGACCCGTGCTAACTGGTATTATGGCTTAAGTATAATTTAGAACAACACTTGAAAAAGAAGAATATAATTCAAAATACAATGAGATGCTCTAATAAACAAAGTTGAGGAGTGTTAATATAAGTATAAATTTTGGGCACTGTGGTAGAGTATAACTCCATTATGGATAAGATTTTATTTTGATAAATCACACAGTGTTGTACAGTTATATGAACTGATGACGTTTCGAGCACGAAATATTGCTCATAATCATATCAAGTTGATATGATTATGAGCAATATTTCGTGCTCGAAACGTCATCAGTTCATATAACTGTACAACATTGTGGAGTGTTAGTATACATGTTCAGTACTGTGTTAGCATTAAGAACAAAGTAAGTTCAACTTTCCAACATTAATGTCAGGTCAACTTAGCGATTCTATAGTGGCTGAGATACTTGGTGTTTTGCAGGTCACGGAAGGCATTTCCAACAGGCTTCCAGACTTACATCAACAGCTACTCTAACTGCATGCTGAAAATCAAATGGTCAGCCAAAAAAGGAGAAGCATCGCAGGAATTCTGACAACGAACGAGCCAAAAATTTATCACCCAAGTGGAGGTGAATAGGAGATACGGTGAGGAGACCGTTAAACAACACCATGGGCCAAACCTTAGAGAGGAGCCTTAATAGGAATCGATGAGTTGGGTTTTGATTTTCTGGGGTGACATGGAGGAAGTCGTGTGAGCACGGTATAGAAGCTTATGGGAAATCGTGCAGCTAGCTAAAACAGATGGCAGAGAACAGGGTGAAATAGAGATGTACTGTAGAAGGCCGTATGTTCCACTTGGAACCTAAAAGAATAATCATAATAATCAGTGTAAATATTGCAAGCCTTAAAGGTATTGATTATCGGTACCACTAAGTTTGTAAATGATTTTGAGTTGTTTTGATTTGACACTAGTAACTAGTGTGAAGCGTCTAGTCCTCTGATTGGTGTAGACTGAATTCTGTCAGTCAGGTTGTAATGCGACCACCATTCTAGCTAGCTCGCCATCACGGTGCACATTGATTTGATGGTATTAGATGGTTGGAGGCAGTCGGCAGCACGAAGCCTTGGACCTAGGTTTCGTGCTAGTTGCCACTCACCAATCAGTCACCAAGGAGTATCTGCAACCTCGAAGGAACTCATGTCCTTTCTGAGATTCGAACCCGCGTCACCCAGTGCAGCCTGCAGTCAGAGACGTTACCGCTGAGCTATTGGGGCTCGCAATTGACCTCCTGTGGGACTGTAGTGGATATTTTGATTCGACACTAGTAACTAGTTTGATGCGTCTAGTCCTCTGATTGGTGGAGACTGAATTCTATCAGCCAGTGTTATTGTTTACTGATTTTTGACCAGTCGGAGATCTTAGCACTGATAAAATATACATCCATCCACGTATGGTCTGAACTATCAGTTACAGACTTACTGTGGGCCACAGATGGATTCTCTGGCTGCTTGTTAACACTGTCCTACAGGATTCAACTGTATACCAGATTTCATTTTCCGGTTAATTACTGAAATTTTATTTTTACTATACAGTTACTGAGAAATGACTTTGCATTCTGTATTTTTATTTCTTTTCTAATTGTAGAGATGCCCTATTAGCTTCACTGTTAGATGGTGTACGAGCTAGCGGGAATCGTGATGTCTGCGTGTGCAGTACATTTTCTGATCGTGATCTACGCTTTATGCCGTTAATTAATTCATCAACAGAAGAAATTGAATCAGTGCATTTACGACTTTTACGTCAGCGTCCAGGTAATACAGCTGTTCAGTTAGTTACTTCATAATTTTTCTAATGTGTTTCTACTTTTAATTCTCATGAGGTGGTGGTGGTGGTGGTGATCCACTGAAATACAACACCTTATCACTATATACTCTACAGAGTATGGATAATATGGTATTATGATTGTATGTCTTAGTGTCCGATTCTGGTTCCTGTTAGTTTCTAAATTCTACTACTCTAGGTTTTTTTCTTTTTGTTTGGTAGAGTATAACTCCATTATGAATAAGAGATTAATTCCTCTCATCCATCGTTGTCTGTAAAGTCTGGTTTTTAGTTAATTGTCTAACAAACCGAGAAATAACAACGCTAAGTAGTACACCAAAAAACCTAGATGTGATGAAAAGAAACACATGGAAGAGGCATTGGTGTCCTATAAAATTCATTAGGAATATCAATAAAGGTCAAGAGCAAAATAAAAAGAATGGTGAAACTAATAATAATAACGATAACATAAATAAGAGAGAGAATATCCGTCATCCACTGTTGTACCATATAAAGAGGGGAGATCTGGGACCCTCAATACATAGGATTCTTAATAAAGCAGGAGTTAAGGTGGTGGCATTCAAACCTACAAACTCACTCACTCACTCACTCGGAAAAGCTGTGTAGCTTAGACGGCCCTGTAAGTTAACCCAATTAGACAAAGTAATATAATTTACAAAATACCTTGCCAATGACTGTGAGTTAGGTCAACTACATAGGTCAGTCAAACTAGTAGTTCGGTAGTAGTAGTAGTAGTAGTCAAATTGGCGGGACCTAAGAATTTAGTTAAGGTTAGAATGATTGACCCCACTCACGAAGATAAGTCATTTAGAAAGAGGAACTCAGCAATAGCACTGCATGCGTTAACACACAACGACATAATAGCGTAGGCGGGGCGGAATCCTGATTCATCGAATAATCTACACCCAATACAATGCAATAGAAGTGACTCAACGTAAATACCAGAGATATGTATAGAAGATATTAATACCACGAGTGAAATTAGAGAATAGTAAATAATGTTAAAATGTATTCAATTCAATTCACATCATAACATTCTAACAAGTTATTTATTTATTTTACTATAAAACCACTCGTCTTATTACCCATCTGATTGTATTTAATTGATAACAATACTATTATTATTTCCGAATGTACTTTCTCATCTTATATTGATTTTGATTTATCAGATGTCTAGTCATCAATTTTTACTCTTGTGTGTAAATGAAGCAAGAAAGTTGTGTGAGTGAGTGAGTAATGCCTTGATATGATGATGATGATGAGCAGTAGTAATAAATTGTGCTTGAAACGTGGTCGTCATCAGTAAATATTACTGTGTAACACTACACTGTGTGAGACTTTATCCAAAATAAAATTTTAATCATTATAGATCAACACATTTTAGATAAATGACCTTACGGACTAGGATTCTTTATAGCATACGTACTAGGTGAATACCTCTTCTGATGAGCCACTGGGAGATCTAGACTTTGCTGTCACACAAAGTCGGTGATCTACAGGTGAAGACCAATGACAGTTTGGCAGAACAGGCTATGGCAGCGAAAGGGGGTGGGTATCAAGGGAATATAGAGAAGGCAGAGGTGATGCAGATACCCAACCAGGATCAACTATCACCATGGGATATATTTAGAAGACAGCCTTGTTCATATTTTCTCACGGCCCATATTAGTGACCTAGACATTGACGTAGATTAATGTCAACCAATTGGCTAGCAGGCTGCTCTCACCACAATACTACTGATAAATGTTATCAGTAGCACACACCACACTACTACTGAAACACTTATGCACAACGTTAATAATAATAATAGTAATAAATCAATATAACTCACAAGCTGTGATGACTATAATCGTTTTTATAGAATAACTTGATCAACACTGTACTAAATATTTCTATATCTCTATTATTTAAAAAAAAATGTTCATGTTCATGACATGGTTTTTTCCCTTGTTGTTGTTGTTCCTTTTTTTTTGGTTGTTGAATAATTAGAGGGTTTATCATATTGGGAAGCAGTACAACGCTTTAATGCTAATGTTGCTTACAGTGGTTTATTGCATGCAGTTACACAAGATGTAAGTAGTATTGATAGAATAATTTGTTTTTACCTTTTTTATCTTTTTACTTATTTCTTTTTTCGATTTGAATGTGTATAAGCCTTCAGTTGACTCTTTTGCTGTGTAAATGAGAACAGCTTTACTCAGTTGTCAACAGAGAAGTAATGAAGTAATTGATAAATGTTCTTGTATTTCGAGGTTTCTAACATGCACACATACACACATATACATCCGTTCTTATAGACAGACAGAGAAGTGTTGAAATAACTTTAGGAGTCTGGCATCTTCAAATACATTAATCATTGCAGAATAAACAAGGGAAACAGTGATTTATTTCTTTATGTCAGATGTGAAGTGGTCACTCATTGACGGTATTGGTTGAAGCCGACACTGTATCGGAAGTTGACAGGAGTTAGAATCCACTGATTATTGAATTTCAACCCAGTGACTGAATGACCGACGGACTGCCTTTATCGCCTGCAAGTTTTGTGTTCTTTGCATCCGTGATCCCTCCAACAGGTGTCGAACCCGCGACCTTCAGGTTACGAAACTATATTCGTTGTTCATTCAACAACTTGAGCTACTTTCCTGACGAAAATCGAACAATTGAAATCAATCCAAAATCCCCAGAAATCCTTTAATCTGACTATCAGTCGTCAGCTCACTGATGCTGGTGAAGTGGACGTTTATCGAAGGTCATCTACTAACATTAGCGGTATATTACAGATCGATACGAGTTAGAATTCACGGGTTATTGAATTCCAGTCCAGTTGGCAGAATGATCAACGAGATTGGTCTTATAACCCTAAGTTCCCGAGTTCGATCCATGATAGGGTTATTGGAGGGCACTGCTAAAGAGTCCCAAATGAAGACGAAGCGGCTCTCCATTGCTTCTCGGTTTTCAATGATTCTCTAACTGATGTTGATTCGTGACGAAAATGTAGCAATTGAAATTAGTCCAAAATCCGCACAAATCCTGTCGTCTGAACTTCATTGTTCACCATAATTGTCTACCTGATATTTATGCCTGAAAAATTTACATTGAAATCGTTCGAAAAATACCTGAAAACCCCCAGAATCTGAGTGTCATTCAAGTAAGTGACTAAAGAATGCAGATAATTGTACTTCTTATGCGTAGTAGCTAACATCACTTGCTTGCTAATACTGAAGTGAATATAAGGGCTTAATATTTTCTTGACCGATGTTAGTCTTTAGTTGTTCTAATAAACATAGCATCTGTCCTTACCATGCTCATGCTCTATGAAATCATTATTCTAAACAATCCTAACCCTAAATGTGCCATTTGACACTCAACTTTAGTCATTTGGATCATTATGGACACTTCTATGCCGGAAGTAATAAAGAAAAGGATCTTGTTTAATACTTTAACACTCCTTTCACAGTATGTGTTGTCACATGACTATACTGTTTTTCCCCACTTAAATTGACCTGTTTTAATTTGATTAACTGTTTCATACTCATTTATGTTCTCTGTCTGCTATAGTCTGAGTGATCAGGTCTGATTAACGTTGAGCTTGTTTGGATTTGCAAGTGACTTGCTGATCCATTCTGTGGGCTTTCAGTATTACTAACCGACTATAGTGGTTCTGTATTGTGTGCTGGAGACGGTAGCTATTTATATGCTCTCTAGTCGACTTGTTAATGGTTTCGGCTGATCAGTTGGTGACTTGATCATGTTTAAGTTGTTAGTAGTGTGTGTGTGTGTGTCATCGTTTGGGTCGATAGTCTGTGGCGTTGTGTTAAACGATCCATCAGACCCCTCTTAAAACAGGGACCAGGGATTCTAACTTATGCACGAGTCATTGGGCTTTACCGAAACACAAAGTAATGGTGAAGGTAAAGGTTCAGGTTGTCCGGACCAAAGTGAGATCCTGTTGTTTTGCGCATAAATTTCAAGTTGCGAGCAGCATATGCATCATTGACCATCGCATGATGTAGATATTTATCCTTGCTCTATATGCACCATCGAGCTGGAGCAAAAGCTTACATGTTGAGATACGATAGAGTATCATTTTTATGCATGCGAAGGTTTAAGCCTGGCGGAGTACTTTGCCTTTTTTGACGTGCATGTCGGTCGTTTAACGTTTTTATAGGTGCGAAAGACTGCTCTTACCATCCAGTAAGTAGCTGGTTCTGTCCGAAGTTTCCCTGAGGATAGTTGGCATTCTGAGAAATAAACAGCTTTATCTGATAAAGCGAATGGTTAGAGGCATCCTCAGCCTGTTGTTATACTTTAATTGGGTCAGAAGCTTACCTTACTTAAATGGAGTTTTGCATTGAACACGAGTGCCAAGTACCCCATTTTTGGCAAGCAGAATTGGCTGGTGCTGTAGGATAAACCTAAGGTGATGTTTATGAGGTAACATAAACTGTGTGTATTTGCTTAGATCTTTAACTTTACAATTTATTCAATAATCCTGAAGTTTTTCTGTTTTCTGTTCCCCCCTCCCCCACCACCACTTCATCCCCGGGATTTCAGGGTGTTTTTGCAGAGAATAAAGAAAAACTGATTAAAGATGCCTTGACAACTATTCTAACACAAGAAGTTCGCCTAATTGATATGGCTGGTTTACCGTCTATAAGACGAATGCAGAATACTAATACCGCTGAAATTCCAAATGCATCAACACCTACTACTACTGTCCCAAGTAGTAATTCGCATAATGAATTAATTTTCGTCGAAGCACAATTTCATGCATTACGTCGGCTAGTAGCATCAAAAGCTGGATTTAATGCTTTCACTCAGTTGCCTGGGTGAGTTTTCTTTTCGTTATTCGTGCGAGTGTTTTACAACTTTGAAAGTGATACTTTTTGGACGTCTTTGTTCCGTATTCTTTGTAGCTGTCATTGCTAATGAGAAGTCTGTCTGTCTGTTTTCAACATAGAACTTTGCACCGATATGCAGCAGTTCAAGTAACCACACTCCCTCCATGTAGCACACAAAGAAAGAAAAGAAAGTAGAAGAAATGCGTAATGGAGACAGTAAACAGAGGTGTGAGACAAAGGAATAGTAGTAACGAAGAACAAAACAGTTTCATTAGAAATCATAAGTCACAAGGAGTGGATGCATCTTCACCCCAGCCATAGAGAACGATTTTGAGTCATATCACCAATTGTTTCCAACCATTGGTTCTTACCGTCCCGAGGACCCCAACCAGGAAGCCAGTCTACACCTTCCTACGTGGCTGGCTTAAACTAACTGTTGTACATTTCATTGACTGGTGAATCCATGTTTTGGTTTGACCGCCACTAGCTCTTTTCCAGCCTGAGTCTATATCAGCTAACATTGCCTGTCGAGGTAGGCGATGACTAGGGATACGTAACACATGTCCTAACCATCTCAGTTGATGTAGCTTCACAGCCTCGTCGATTGGTTTCCCACCCTTACCCAGCACTCGACCGATGCCTAACCTCAATATTGCTCACCTTATTATACCACTAAACAAACACGGGAGATAGAACGCAGGCACCTATCATCAGAGACAGCTAGGCTGGCTTTTCATGTCTTCCACTCTCAATGGCCATGTCTCACTCACAGTTATAAAGGAGGACGGAGCGGACTGATGAACAGTACACCCGCCCTTTGGTATCGGATATCGCGTCTACTAGACCAGAGACGGTGTAAACTGGCATATGCGAAACTAGCCACAGATCCAATTATAATTCCGGAATTCGATCAGTAGATGTACGAAAAAGAACTGATGTTTCGGGCCACTTCATTTTGTGTTCACATATTCACGTGCTTCTCTAAACACTGGCAGGTATGGTTATCAAGACGACAATCAATAGAAGTCAATTGTTAGCTGAATTTTCGAGTATCTGGTGATGAAGTCAGGGCACTCAGCTCCACTGGAGTCCTCTTTTGAAATTATTTACAGAGTAAGGTCGAGTGGGTATAGAATCTCGTAGTGTAAGGTTTTGACACTTGTGTATAGTGGAGGCGCTAGAGATTCAACAAAACAATCCTAAAGTCTCTGTGTACAAAGGAGGTTTGATGCAGTTGTGTTCTCGAAGCTGGATGTTTTATTTGCGAAGTTTTCATTGCCCTCCTACTAGGCATAATCTTCACCGCATACGTCAGTCTGTTGAAGTGAGCTTTTAGATTTCTCCACGAGTTTATTAGTCATCTCTCTCGGTGGGCGACTTTGAACGTGACTAGTTGTTTTTGTGTGTTTGCACACCCTTTGGGCTGCTTGTCTTGGAACTGATTGTTCAAATCAAGGAAACATTCATCTCCAATACTTTTCATAATATTGTAAAATAGTTTTCTTTCACCTATTTGGGCCTCTTCCAGCCTGAGGGGCGGAGTCATGCGTTCCTAACCTTCGACAGGTAAGTCGTATTTATTATCTTCATGAGGTGGGGGATGTTACTCACAAAGTGAAAGGGGAATTAGGACGTCTGGCGCTTACACTCGGATGGGTGAACATGCAAGTCTACTTAGAGGAGTTGGAATACCTATGGCACACATGGGATTCAGAATCCAAATGGGATTGAATGGCATATGAATTTGTTTTGCTCATGGGAAACCATGTGAACGTAGTTCCGGACGCTGGTCCACTGCTTTGTGAATCGGAATTGAAGTCTGGGGCTTGTGTGTTGACACCCTTAAGACAACCTCTTGCATTGGATCTGGTCACCGGAATAGTATCCTTGCGTGCGCTCTTCGAACCTTCGCTTTCTTCCGGCTTGACTACAGGCTCAGAGAGCTTTAGGAGTATATTGGAAGGGGATGATTGAACCTGGACCACGTCCGTGGTTGGTGAGGATTCTACCACTGCCCCACCGACAGTGGGGCAATGTTAAATGTACAGCATTTTCAGAGGAGTTTAGTGCATGGTATTTCCCCTTCGTACAATCAATGTCTTCAAGTAAAGTAGTAATTGACAGTATATCCTGTGTGTGTTTGACATAATGGTCTCTGAGCTACTGATGAAGCACAAACCACATTCCATTATGATGTATCTGCTTTGTCTCCTTCAAGAAATCCATTCACGATATCTAGTTTAAAGCCAATTACAAGATTTTCAAAAGTACATTTTGTGAGACTCACGGACATAACTAAAGAACAGTAATCTGATGTATTGTGGAACACGTTTCCACGGACAACCGAACCTTTTGTCAAGTTTAGTAGAAACTTGTTAATCAGAAGCTTGTAAACACTTTAAATACACACAAAGCTTAATCGATTAAAATCAAAGCGAACGAGAAAAAGATATATATGCCACAGAGATATTGAAGTTTTTGATAGCCCAAGTTTTGAGCAGACCGTCACTGGTATGAATAATAAGCTACAATAAATAATAAAGCTCATACATCGGATGAGAAAAATGATGCCTATGCGCATTTCTAATTTTGTCCACTCTCTAAATTTGTTTGATGTTCTATTTCCTTTTCTTTTTTCTGTTTCTCTTGCGCCTATCCACATAGAATGCGTGTTACATTGGGTCAAATTGTTGTCAATGCGCTGAAACTCCGTGATGATGCTGTCACGCATGCTGTATTAGACGCTATCAACACACTGATGCATCCAATGCATGATCATCCAGATATAAGACAAGAACAATTGAATAAAGCGTCAATTATGTCTAGTGAAGTATTTCTCTCTCATCTAGTGGATATATTCACATTGCATACTGTAAGTTTGCCTACATAACTTGTTCTCCTGTGTATATGAGTTTTAAAGCCTAACTAGAGGTGGTTGGTGTTACGAATGGGTACTTATTGCTACTAGTATTTATTATTATTATTGTTACTCGTTTCTCGCTTTCTGATTGGGACATTGGACTTCATCTGCACATCTTGTTAGTAACTCCATCACAATCATCATTCCTTCTTGGCGTGATCTCCTCCATGTTAAGCCAACTCATCACTTCCTATTTAGGCGTTGGATGTGTGATTTCATTTAAATGTCACTTCACCATATGTGCAACCTATTTCTTATTCTTTTTTTTAATTAGCTATCTATAAACGTCAGCAGTGAGGAAAGACAAGTCTTGATGAAACTTTATAGTCTTAGATGGTTGGAGGCAATCAGCAGGAAGCTTTGGACCTAGGTTTCCTGCTAGTTGGCACTTGTCAGTAAGGTGTATATGCAACCTTGAAGGAACTCATGTCCCTCACCCAGTGGGTACTGCAGCCAGATGCGTTGCCACTGAGCTATTCGGGCTCGCGATTGACCTCCTGTAAGATTGTAGTGGATATTTTCATTCGGCACTAGTAACTAGTGTGATGCGTCTAATCCTCTGATTGGTGTAGACTGAATTCTATCAGTCAGGTTGTAATGTGACCACCATTCTAGTTATCTCACCATCACAGTGCACATTGATTTGATGGTATTAGATGGTTGGAGGCAGTCGGCAGCACGAAGCCTTGGACCTAGGTTTCGTGGCAGTTGCCACTCACCAATCAGTCACCAAGGCGTATCTGCAACCTTGAACCCGAATAGCTTAGTGGTAATGTCTCTGGCTGCAGTACCCACTGGGTGACGCGGGTTCGAATCTCAGAAGGGACATGAGTTTCTTCAAGGTTGCAGATACGGCTTAGTGACTGGTGAGTGGCAACTAGCACGAAACCTAGGTCCAAGGCTTCCTGTGGCCGATTGCTTCCAAACATCTAATATCATCAAATCAACGATGGTGTCATCTTATGACATTATATTTCTAACCAATAACGAAGTATCACAACATAAAAGGTTATGCACACTTTTCTGTAGTCATTTAAGCTCATGATATTTAGCTGGTGTGATGGTGGTTGTTAGTCATCTTAATACTACTGTTCAAAATGTCAAGTTTTATATTCAGTAAACTTGATTTTAAAGCATTGATCTGGTCATAAACTGAATATATATTCACTGGAATTAGTCTAATTTTCTATTGAATTAGCGTCTGTTTTCAGAGTGTATGTGTGCAAACATCAACAATGGTCGCATTCTCCTTTTTGTCAAGTTTTTGGATTGTGTAGGCATTTGATGATTGTTTTCAAATGTCGACTTCATCAGGAATCAGGAGTGTATTGGAAACAGGGGGAGAGGGTGTTGTGGAGCATTGTGCTCTTTATTGTGTCATTTAACAGTTCATAACACCTGGTAATTTTATAGAGGTAGCTAGTCATGTACAATGTTGTGTTATAGATGACTTCAAATTGAAGTGTATGCGCTGAAGATGTCGCCTAGTAGGGCGATGAAAGCTCCGCAAATTTTCAAAATAATGGATACTGAACAAAGATTACTCTTTTCGATAACTTTATCATCAGGCTCTACAGTTTTATATAAATAATAGTGAATGAATGAATTAGTGTTAATAACAACATTAATGTTCTTTAAATAACATCGAATCAATAATATCAATAAATTAAAGTTCAATAGCATCAGGAAAACAACAAATTGAATGACAGAAAAATTAAGGGTTGCCACCGACAATTATACATCTCATCCAACAGTTGTACGAAAGTGCTGCATGCCAATTTATCTACAACGGGAAACTTACGGAATCCTTGGAAGTGAAGACGGGAGTAAGACAGGCTGGTTGCCTATAATCGCTAATGATTTTCCTGATTGCAGTAGATTGGATAAATGGACACAAACAAAAATTTGGAGGATCTGGACTTCGCCGATGATATATGTCTGATTTCCCACAAACTGGAAGATATGCAAGTGAAAAGCGACAAGTTGGCAAAAGAAGCGTGATGATGAAATCCTGAAACCAATCAAATCCCTACAAACCAACACTTGAAAGATAGGTTCAGTTAAATGTCTATATTAATCGGTCCAAGAGCATAACCAGTAAGCCAGAAGATTTAAATAATGAAATCAAACAAATAGAAAAAGAAATATTACTAGTGAGTCACTAACTATCCACCAGAATTTATTCAGAAATATGTGAAGAACCATAGAAAAACTAAGATTGGCCATAAATAATGACGAAAATAACGAAAATGGTATAGGATACAAAGCGTTTGTAATACTGTCGTATAAAGAATGAACGTCAGAGGCCTTACGTAGGATTCTTAGTGAGATTGGGATTAGTCGAGGTGGCATTTAACGACCGATGAGTGTTCACTCGGAGATAAACTTTGTCGACTTAAAGACACAATAGATCCTTGCCTTGTGAAACAAAGCGTACGTTGTTATGAATACAGCAGAGTGGAGAGGAAAATTGAGAATGTTTTGTGTGGTGGTGGTGGTGGTAGTTTTCAGGGATTTAACTGGCTCCATGACAGATTACAAATTTGACGTCAGTTAGAGGATACCATTTGAAACTAAAATGTTTACTGACGTGACCTTCCATGTTTCGTCGTAGTCTGAGTCTGCTCATCAGTACTCATCCATGACGCTGTGAATTCGCAGAAGTAAGAATTCTTCTTCCGCCGTTGGATTTCACTCCAGTGTATATATGAAAGGTGAATAGGCTCAGTTTGTTTAACCTTAAGGTTATGGGTGTGTCCTACTGAAAACCTCTCCAGTACCAGGTGATTTTCAATGGTTCTCTGATGGATGCCAAGTTGTGATCTTACTAGATAGAAGAATTTATATTTTTGTCTGTTGATCACTGGACACTTTAATTTTTTCGTTTCATAACTGCGTGAGTTTATAAAATGTAGAATTATTTCAGGGTAGGTCCTGTTTTAAACTATTAGTGTTGTTGTTGTCGAGGAAACTGTTGAAAATTAAAGAGCTTTAACTAGTATCGTTGCTTAGTTATAGGAATACATCATGAGCTGGGAGTAGTGAACAGCCATTTCATCCCAGTTTGAGACTCTTCAGCAGTACGCACCCATCGTCAGGGTTCGAACCCAGGACCTTCGGGTTACAAGGCTAGCAAGCTCGTAGACCATTAAGCCACTGGGACCCGATCCAATGACTCATGAATTCCGACTTCGTATCGTTTATTCCCTTTGACATACACATTATGGCTAAAGAGAACAAAAAATTACGATCGTTAGTTTAAAAGACGAACAATTTATTTGTTAAATCAAGTCGCATTTCAAAGGTCAATGTACCAATTTTTCTTTTTGTTTCGGTTATTGATTACGTTTAAAGAAATAACTTAAGATTTATCCCTTTTTTTCCTGTTTTGACATGTTTTTCCTATCTGAAAAAAATATGCATACATATCAGTTACGTGGAAGTGGTTCCCTCGTCCTCTGCGCACTATTAGATTTCTTCACTTACGGTGTATGCTTACCATATTCTGAAACATCTGAAGGTGGTCTATTCGACAACTTGTTACGTCTACTAGCCAATCGTGGTAGAGCTTTGTTCCGGTTATATCATGTAAGCGTCTATTTTTGTTAAAACATATCATTTGGACGTGAATTAATGCTTCTGTGTTTGAAATGCTTATTATTGTGTATTTTAGTAATATTATTTACCTAAAGAATTAACCTTGATTACTGTTCAGTATTTTCATCTTAAGCAGTAGATAGCTTTTTTTTGGTAATGTATGTTGGTGTCCTTCTATGAAGAAGAGGCCAGTGACCTATATTGTCTCAAGTTGATGGCGGTCTCCACTTTGATGACAGTTGAATTCTTCTGAGTGAGAGCATCGATTAATTTCTGTTGACCTGCTTCTTTCTGATCATGCTACAGCTTTAAGATGATAGATTTGAGATCTTCAATAGAGATAAAGGAAAGGCAAAGCATGTGCTTCGTCATCACAGAACAAAGCATAGAATGGCAGTCCAACCTGGACGTCAACTTCGTCGATCAATTGGAAAGGCCTTCCACAGCGTACCGTTGATCGAGAAGTTATTTGGAAACTACTTCAACACTACGGCGTGCAGTGTTCAAGTCTTTATCAACCTCATTCAACAGTTGGCTATATGACGATGCCATGTATCAAGTGATCCACAACGGGAAAAATCAGCGAAGCGTTCTAAGTGCACACAGGAGTAAGACAAGCTGGCTACCTATCTTAATTGTGGTGGACCGGATTATGCGTCAGACAGTGCGTGGGAGCGAGGAGACAGAAATACGCTGGACGACCGATAAGATGACTCTAGGAGATCTCGATTTTGCAGATGATATAAGTCTAAATGTCACACAAACTCGAAGACTTGCAGGCAGGCAGGCGTAAGCCAACCAACTGGCTGAAGAGGAAGACGGCAGCATAGACAGGACTCCATCCAGACGAACACATAGAGAAGATGTAAGTGATGAAGATAACCAACGAACCGTAGTACCTTCCGCTTCACTGAGGCACGTAAATGTGAAAAAAAAAAAAACAAAGACTGGCCAGTGAATGTTACGATGCAATTTTATCAGAAATGACATGAAATTCAACCCAGCACATTGTAAATATATTGTTTTGATTGATAGGTGATTCGTTTATGAGGTAGGTGAAAAATAAGCACTCTGATTGGTTGACGATTTGACCGAGACGAAGGTAAGAAAAAAATGATGAAATTTTACGATCATCCGATCACACGATGAACCACATGATGGATCATAAAATGATTACTATTTGTAGCTGATTCCTAATTGATCATAAAGGAGGCCAGTGACATACGTTGTCTTAAATTTGATTCCAGTCTTCATTTTGATGACAGTTGAAGTCAATTGATCGAAAATACCTAGCACGAATTTTGTAATTGTCGACAGTCATCTGTAGTAGTGGCAAAGATGCAGAGTGGAGAAAAGAGCCTAAGCACTGGTTAGGGATGTGAACTAAACTCGCTGTATACGCTACACTTTAGAGTCTTAACAAACATTTTTGAATTCCATTTAGCCTTTTGTAAACCTGTGTTGCGAGTTCATTGATTTATTATCATTATTGCTTTTCGTATTAGTAATCCCCGAGGTTCCGATTGAAACATACGGCTTTCAGGTTACACCCCGATTTCACTCGGTTCTCTATAGTACTCTCTAGCTGGCTTCACAATTGTTCATAAGCTTTCATTCCTCCTCTCAGACAATCCCCATGTCACCCTCGACGTGATGCCCAACTCGTCACTCTCTATTCGGATTGCTCTCGATGGCTTGGCGTGCGTGGTGTGTTACTCAGCGGTCTTCTCAGCATATGTCCAATCCATCTCCATTTCGTTTTACACATTTTTCGGGTTATAGGGTCTTGGTTAGTTCGTTCGCAGAATTTCTTGTCGCCAATCCTTCTTGTCCATCATATCATCAGTAAAGAGCGTAAGCGGCTGTAGTTGAATGATTGCAGTTTGTTGAAATGCATTTAATTCACGGAAAATACCCATCCAGACATATGAATATAAGAACAACATAGTTCAGCGAAGAGTCTTTACAGCTAATTCATTCACGTAACTGTACAATCTCATTTATACATAATCATTTTGTGTGTGTGTGTGTATGAGGACTGTCAAACAAAATTAAAATCAATTAGCGTTACTGCTTACGAGTTGATCACGGATTGATCTCAGTTAGAGAACCATTGAAAACCAGGGAGTACTAGACAGCTGCTGTTTCATCCTAGTTTGGGAATCATCGGCAGTACGCACCTACTGGGATTCGAACCTACGACCTTCCGGTTACAAGGCCAGCGAACTCGTATACCATTCAACCACTGGGACCCGATTCAATGGCTCGTGAATTCAAGAGTTGGTAGAAGTTAGAACTCATGAGCCATTGAATCGGGTCCCAGTGGTTGAATGGTATACGAGTTCGCTGGCCTTGTAACCGGAAGGTCGTAGGTTCGAATCCCAGTAGGTGCGTACTGCCGATGATTCCCAAACTAGGATGAAACAGCAGCTGTCTAGTACTCCCTGGTTTTCAATGGTTCTCTAACTGAGATCAATCCGTGATCAACTCGTAAAAACAAAACCAACCCTTACAAACCAAACTGTAGAAAATTAATCTGACGCTCGCTAGTCACTTGCTACAGGATGGAGTTTCCTAGAGTTGGTTCTAGTGAGAAGTCATGACCAGTGAGATCCAATTAGATGTCACGTGTGTGGATGGATGTCTCACCTATGAAAATGGTTAGGGTCGCACTAAATCACGAATTAGTAGAAGTTAGAATTCATGAGCCATTGAAGAGGCGAGTCCCAGTGGCTGAATGATATACGAGCTTGCTTGCCTTGTAATCGGAAGGTACTGGATTCGAACCTTGGGCAGGGGGTGTGTACTTCCGATGATTCCCAAAACTAGGCTGATGAAACAGCTGTCCAGTACTCCCTGATTTACAATCGTTCTCTAGCTGATATCAATCCGTGATCAACTCGTAAAAATATAACAAACCCTTACAAACCAAACTATAGAAAGTTACTGCTTACGTCATCAAAATGTTTCTCAACTGTGATGAATAATCAAAACTGTACCTAGGGTGGTGAAGTTTGATAAGTATGGACAAGGGTTGCGTTATCTAAAATAGGGTGTTAATGGAGACACGTGTTCAACAACAAATTATGTAATAGGTAGGAAGAGTAAATAAAGTGTTGGTTAAGAAAATTTTACTCAGATGTTTCACAAAAGTTCAAAAAAGTACAAAAGAAAACACTATTAACAAAGTAATGGAGCTTGGAATTATTCCCAAGATTGAAGGAGGAGAGGGTGGAGAAGTTTCTTCTGTGTGCGTTAAATCAGGGTTTGTATCCAAATCGCTAAGGCCTCGGCAATGCAAAGTATACGGAAGCTTACTGCTTTTGGGAGGCTTCTTTTTACTTTTTAGATGACTTTGAATGAATTCTTCTTGCATATTGAGTGACCAGTGTTGACTATTTGTTCAATTATAACACTCCCTATTGATCCACCGTGACCTTTTTCATAACCTAGTGGCATAATGTTTTTTGATTGCTTTAGACAAAACACGTATTGAACGATTTATATACCTCGCTCCATATGAGCAATTAAATTGAGAGATACAGATAGAAGTGGTCAAATGCGATAGCTTATCTGTGGAGTTGTTGAAGAACAATAGGCGTCTTGAGAATACCAATCGTAATGTGGCATCAGAGAATGTTCTTTTCACGGCATTAGGTATTCTTCTCTTCAGGGTTTCGGCTAGAATGTCGTCTTTGAAAGCCACAATCATGTATAGCATCTTCTTCGACACAGAGATGGAATGTTCTTTGTTGATTTTTGACTTCATATGTTTATCTATAAAGCGTGGTGGATAACCATTTTCAAGTAATATTTTCCTCAAAGGAGTGATCTCTTCTCCTACTGATTCGAAGCTGCAGATTCTACCTATTCTTGTCGCAAGAGATATTATCATCAGGTTCCGCTTGCGATTGTTAGGTATCCAACTGTAAAAGTTTGTCAGCTAACCTTTCTACATAGGCTTTCGACATATTGATCTCTTTAGAGTCCCATCAGTCTTCTCTGTTAGTCGAACGTCCAGAAATGAGATTGTATCTCTGTTTTCTTCTTCAATTGTAAATTTGATGATTGGGTGGCAGTTGACAAAAACCTGAAGGACATTTATTTATTTATTTAAAAGCAGAGAAAAGTTGGTACAATATGCCATCAAGAAGGATGCGCCACGCAATAATAATAAAACAACACAGGTCAAAGAAAAAAATAATATGAGTAGAAAACGGATAAAGAACTTCATCTGGAAGTAAAACAGTCATATTTAGCAAGTCCAAACAGTATTCGTTAACTATCACCGGGAAGGGAAGAAAGAAGGAAACTACAACACGTTCACCATTGATTACGATTCTTGGCCATATCCGATAACGTTTTGAGCCATCGATTCGAGCTATCTCTCGTACCCCAACCAGGAGGGAGTCGTGACGCACCAACCGATGCTAATCTTGCACAAACATCTTTCATCCCACGACGCCACGTCATGGACTGACTACCACCCCTCCGCCTTTTCCATCCCGTCCCAGGGCTGGCTAGCGAACAGGACATTGTTTAAGTTGTATTTGTTATCACAGATAATAAAAGTGTCATCGACATACCTATCAGTCATGTGCTAATTCTCTGAAGCGTGTAGAAGTTCTGACTGACTGACTGACGTGACATTAGTGTTGATAATGTAGATCTCTTGTTCCTTGTTCTGAGTTCATCAGATTTCCACACTGATTTCAGACCTTCCTAAAACTCTTCCCTCTTCTCATGATCTGCGTAGTTTGTAGTAGTGTAGCATTGGATAATTTCAACTTTCTTACCTTTTTCAGTTGAATCTTGCTGTCACTGTTTTAGAGGAGATTTGCTCCTAATGTGTATAGGAGCCTTCGATGGTGTTTTCATCTATCGATTGTATGTTAGATTATTTTATTGTGATTTTTCTTTTTGTCTATTGTCTATTTTAGCATCCTAGTTTAGCAATTGTTCGTGGTGGTGGAATGATTATGCGTGCTTTAATTGAAGAAGGTGGACCAGAGGTTGCTAAAGAATTACGTAATCTGGCCTTGACAGAAGGTGCATTATTTCATCATTTTTGGATTGCATGTTTCACTCAAGGAAAAGATCCCCGAAGTCTAGCTGTACAGTAAGTTTAATCAACCCCATCGTTTTCTGTTTTTTTTCCAGTAGTACTATATTAGATGTTCAGCTTGCACATACACTGTGCAGTTTCATGTTATTTAGTTGATGGTATCTAGCAGTTGAATCTGATATCACCTAGAGAACCATTGTAAATCAGGGAGTACTGGACAGCTGTTTCATCAGCCTAGTTTTGGGAATCATCAGCAGTACACACCCACTGCCCAAGGTTCGAATCCAGGATCTTCCGGTTACAAGGCAAGCAAGCTCGTATATCCTTCAGCCACTGGGACCCGCCCGATTCAATGGCTCATGAATTCTAACTTCTACTAATTCGTGATTTAGCGTGACCCTAACCATTTTCATAGGTGAGACATCCATCCACACACGTGACATCTAATTGGACCTCACTGGTCATGACTTCTCACTAGAACTAACTCCAGGAAACTCCATCCTGTAGCAAGTGACTAGCGAGCATCAAATTAATTTTCTTTAGTTTAGTTTGTAAGGGAAATTGATTCTGAGATGCTCGTTTCATTCTATTTTGGACTCATTAACCAAGATGTATGTACAATGGAATGAATAGTGTTTCGGCTAAGACTCGAGTCAAGGACACATTGCTTCAAACGCCAAAGCATTAACCTTTAGACTAAAGAGCTTAGTTATCTATAAAAAAGGATTACTGTGAATTAAGGTTGAAAGCGATATTCCCGCCGCCCCCTCAATCATATAAGTCTAGGCTTGCCGACGATGCACGTGATCTGGGGTTCTATTCCCAGCCAACGTATTATTATTCAATCTCGCTTAGCCGAAAATCAGTCCGGTAAATAGAAAAGTTGCAAGTGAGACTAGCGACTCAGTGCAGTTGAAAAAAGAACATCATTGCTACTGTAATACTCTAAAGCTCAAGATCAGAGTTGTATGTTCCTGTTCTTGGAACGCAAAAGAATAAAAAAAATAGAAAACGTCTAGGCCTTTCTTGGTTATTTTGTAGGTTATTTTGTCATCATTGGATATATATATATAATATGAATTTACATTTGATTGTATGCCAGCTAAGGTTAGATTATTTATTCTGGTTTCAATATCTGAGTAATGCTGAAAATACCGTCATACTAAGCGTGTTTCAGGGACCTGTGAGCAATGGTTCTTCATGTATAGGCTGACATAATAACACTCTGCTACACCATACACTCCTACAAAACGCATTTTTTATTTCTAAGATTAATGTAAGTATGGAACTTTTAGGCACTGTAGTAAGAATGTAATTCCATATTAGATAAGTGATGCAGTGTATTGATAACTGGATGACAAAGTTTCGAGCATAAATTATTTCTCATAATCATGTCAATTTAGTCTCACAGCTTCACAATTTGTCTTATATGTGTTTTTCTCTCTTTCCCACCTCCCTTTGTCGTTCGTTTGTTACCACTTTTCATTTCTCTACTATATAGAGGCGTTGTATCATTTCGATTGCACGTGTGTGATGTTGAATTGATTAGTGAATCTTCAGTGGTTAGCCTTTCTCTGTTTCCACCTAACTATATTATCCTTTTCATACTGTCCCACCCACCCTTTATTGTGTGAGATTACATGCAAGTGAATGCAATGCAGTGTAATGGCCGAGCTTTTTTCTATATTAATTAAATTTAACAGGGTCATTCATTTCAGGTTAGCTAGCTAGTTGAATTTTTACATTCCAGTAATCGAATTCACTCTGATCTACTAGTTGAACCTATGTAATTGACCTCATAGTCATGGTATTAGTACATGGTATTTGGTAAATTATACTAATTTTCTTGATTAGATCTATGGGGTTGTCAAGCCGACAGAGTTTATGTTTGAGAGAGTTATTTGTTTGTTTTGAATACCACCCTAGTTTCAGCCTCATGGAGAATCTTACGTCAGTTCTCTTGTGCTCCTCCTTTTTATACGGTAGTACTACATAGGCTTTGAAAACTTCATGGAGAGAAAACGGAAAGTATGTGTATGATACAAATTGTGAAACTGTGTGACTGATGTCAAACGACTATGAGCTGCAGTAATTTATACTCAAAACCCCTATCCAGTTAATAATACTGCATCATTTTATGTGTTGTTTCAAAAATATAGGATTGTTTCTGGGATGTTTTGATTGAGAAGCTTTCAGCATCATATGCTTAACAGATTGATTTACGTTTAGCTAGGCATGGATGCATTCATCCCACTAGGTTTTAGGTGAAATTAGAATGCGAAAGAATTATCTTGACTGTTGACTGAAGATGAGTAGATAATTAGTGGTAACAAAGAGAGAGAGAGATTTGAAAGACCCATAGTGATCTGCAGGAGTAATAGGTAATTTTTCAAGTGAATTAGAGATACTGGATGATAAAGTTGTTTTCATAAGAACAAATTAATGCATGTGTGTAAGATTTGGGCACTGTGGTAGCATTCGTCCATTCGTCTTACTGGTAATGGAATTTTCTAAAGGTCTAGGTGGACGGACAGGTGCTGAATGATTTCTGTTGCATGTATTCACAGCTGGTACGTCGGTGGCACAGCGGTTAGGACGCTCGCCGACCATGCACATGATCTGGGGTTCGATCCCCGGCCACCGACACACTCCTTTACCTCGCTATACCAGAAATAATGCTGGTAAAGAGGAAAGGTTGGGCATAAGGCTAGCAACCCCATCCTGTAAAATTAAACACTGCTACAGAAACTTCAAGTCACTAGCTTGAAGCCCTATATATATATATATATATATATATATATATATATATATAGGCCTTTCTTGAATAATGAGAATCTGTTAGTTAGACATTTCATTATATTAAATATTCTCATCTGTGAAATTTAGAACAACACATTTAAGCGAACAATATTGTTGTTTCAATTAGATCTCATCAGGCTTAACTCTAATATACATGAGTTTACAAATGAAAATTCAAATATAAACCAATCATGGTGTTTTGTCTATAGGATAATACGATGGTGATTATAAATTGTGCAATCAGTCATTATAGTAGTAATGATAATAATAATAATAATAGTGGTTGTATCAATAATAAAGATGAAAAAGTGAGGCAATCTGTGATAAAACGAATAATGAAAAAACAGCATGATTAAACAAACAGATGTGTTCAGGTAGACGTAGTAGTCGATAAATAAATAAATTTTTGCTTTATTCTAAAAACAGTCCTTATGATACAGCAAGGAATTTTCAGCATTCAGTACAATATTGGATCTAATTTACTCAAAAACGACAAAAAAAAATAAACATTGCATAATAATAATAAAACGTTGTTATAGCAGCTACATAGCAAAATACTGTATGCCATACGGAGAAAAATATGCATAAAGTACAAAATTGTAGTAATAATAGTAATAACAACTAAAATAAAATAGCAGAGTAATAATTAAACGATAGAAAGTGTGACACCATAAAATACAGAAAGATGAACGATGAAAGGGTCGATTTACTGTGCTAATTACATAGTAACTTGTAAAGGCTAATAAAAACAAATCAACCGATTAAGTAATGTTAGATTGTTAGGGAAGTAAATGAAACACGTTTATAATGCAGATATGGTAAGATTAAGGGGTGATAAGAGAGTGGGGTTGAAAATATAAATAAGGTGTGGTGTAGAAGTCATTAGTCGGTTGTCTTCATAGGCCAAGCAAGGGAGGGAACTTCTTTTGAATGCATAGTGTAGGTTTAATAGTTTGAATGCTTATCGCCTCGGCTGTGTGCAGTAGACAAATACGAAGTCTATTGGAACGATTCATTGGGATACGATGAATTACTTTGAAAGCTCTCGTTTTCTCGACTACATGACCACTATCAATTTAGTGTGACAAAATTGAGCTACGGATTGTTTTTGTCTGTCCTTTGCCGAACCACCACGATGGGAGATGTTCACTAACACGTTGGCTAAGCTGTTTAGTGGTAATACGCCCAACATAACTGTCACCATAGGTGCAGTTGAATTGATAAATGCACATAGATGTGGCAAAACTATCTAGCTTGTCCTTCGTTTGCGTCCCGATCATTCGTCGGCTAGAGATTTATATGACTGGAGGCGGCAGTAATATAGTTTTTAACCTTATTTCACAGTAATACCTTTTTATAGATGACTAAGCTCTGGGGTCTAGCGGATAATGCTTTGGCGTTTGAAACAATGTGTGCTTGACTCGAGTCTTAGCCGAAACACTATTCATTTCCCCGTGTACATACATCTAAACATTTATTGAAACTATCGAAATAATAGTTGGCGAGTTCGGATCTGTGTAAGAACACCATCACTGACTGGGATTTCGGGCACATCCAGTTGATTTGTCGTAAATAGTTCGGAAGGATGGGTTATTTCTCGATACCGCTTCTTCCCACCAACAGTGAAATACCACTAATTAAATACATGTTAACTGTTAGCTTTATTGTTGCGTATACCGTTTTTCTTTTTAAAGAGAAACCTACCGTAGATTATGATTAGATGTGAGTGATGATTAAACATAACCGAGGGGTTTTGAAAAATTTGAACCTTGTTATTAAGCAGAGTTTATTTTTAGTATCGATTATCTTGAGGACATTTAATCCTTGAAGAATCTATAGTTCTCCATATATAACTAAGACTTGCAATTAATAGTGTTCTCTGAGCTGGTTGATTTAGTTGCGGAGGTTTCGTCTTCCCCCCACTGCTGGACAACATCTCCTTTCAGCGCAATATTTAGCATAAAGTGAAATTATTTCAATTTCTTCATGAGTGATATAGTTGCGTCTCCCAGCAACCATCTTTACATACCTATTGACCATTTTCTATTGACTTCGATTTTAAACTTTCTGGCCACCTGATTTACTTTTTATTAGTTGGTGGTATATTTGGTCTATGTTAACGTGTTTGTTGATTGCATTTTCGTTTGAGTACCAGGCTTGGCTTCTAGGAATTCCCTGACTGCACTTTTGGTGGTGTTTCCTCTGTCTAAGATTTCGACATTATCCCAATCATCAAATTGATGTCCGTAATTGTCTATATGCATTGATACTAAAGAATTTATATCATGTCTTTTCACGGTTGATTTGTGTTCCTGGATTCTGATTCAAAGGGGACGTCCACTTCGGCCACCGATGTAATGCCTGTTACAGTTCATACATGCAATTTATTTTATAAATGGTATTAGTTTTATCTCCTTTTTCTGTTGGATGTATCTTTTGGTTTGCATAATATCGAATTGAGCGATTTGACTGGCTGACTTGTGTGATATATCTATATCAAACGGTTTCAGTATTGTAGCATTTATTTCAGAGATATTTTTCTCTTATAACTAAGACTTATTATCACAGATTTATTTGAATCCATAATGCTTTGACCTCTGATCACTACTCCGTGTGTGTTATACAACACATTTAACTGCTTTTTTTGCATGTTAGTTAGTCATTGATAACACTGGAAAGAGTTAATTATGAATGTGTTTGGCATAATAGTACATTTCAACTTTTGTTGTACATTGGATCAATAAAATTGAGCATTTCACTTAGTTATAGAGAGTTCGATTAGTCACCATTGACATAATGGTCATATAATGTCCGCATCAGTCAATATTTGAAGGGCCACTTGGCCTTTGACATCATGCAGTTAGTTACCCGTTGAAGAGTAATTTCTTGCGCTGACAGTCAGTCAATATTGAATACATTGAAATGATTGACACGTGTCTGGCATGCCAACACATCGCCTTTCCTCATTGAACAACGTTCACTGGCATCAGATTAGGTTCGAACAAATTTAGAGGTGTTTGTGTGTGTGTGTGTGTGGAGTAGGGGGGGGGGTAAAATCAAAACCTCTCATGAATATATGAGGTCTCTGACTGTTGGTTTGAACCGTGTGGGGAAGTGGTTGTAATCTGTCAGGTTGTCGCCGTTGAAACTCTAAGAACCAGTGGCTGGATACATATTTGTATTCATTATAGATATTCTGCAGTTTTACTTTTCACTAGCTTTGTGTGCTATATGGAATGTGGTAACCTGAATTGTTGCATTTTTGTTTGGAGTGTTACGTTTAAAACTCATTGATTCAGTTGATCGGCTGAAGTAGATCGTGTCACATACCTTAAGTAACAATATTTGCTAAAATAGGACTAGTTCTGTCCGTCTGTCTGTTTTCGACATAGAACTTTCCACCGATGTCCGGCAGTTCAAGTCGCCACACTCCACTCCATGTAGCACACAAATCAAGAAAAGAAAGCAGAATAAAATGCATAATAGAGACAGTAAACAGAGGTGAGTGACAAAGGAAGAGTAATAACGAAGAACAAAACAGTTTCATTGGAAATCATAAGACACAAGGAGTGGATACATCTGCGCTAGCCATCACGAAGAACGATTTTAAGTCATGTCACCAATTGTTTCCAACCATTGGTTTTTTACCATCCCGAGAACCCCAATCAGTCTGGAAGTCTACACCTTCCTATTTAGCTTAGACTAACTGTAGTAGATTTCATTGACTGGTGCCGCCATGTTTTGGTTTGACCTCCGCTAGCTCTTTTCCAGTCTGAGCCTATATCAGCTAACATTGCCTATTGTCGAGGAAGGCGATAACTGGGCATACGTAACATATGTCCTAACCATCTCAGTCTATGTAACTTCACAACCTCGTCGATCGATTTCCCCTCCTTACCTAGAACTCGACCGAAGCCTAACCTCAATATTGCTCACCTTATTATACCACTTCACACGGGAGATAGAAAGCAGGCACCTATCATCAAAGACAGCTAGCCAGGCTTTTCATGTCTTCCACTCTCAATGGCCATGTTTGACTCACAGCCATAGAGGAGGACGGAGCGGACTGACGAGCAGTACACCGGCCCTTTAGTCGATAGCCAGCCGGATATCACGTCTACTAAGCGGGAGACGGCGTAAACTGGTATATGCGAAACTAGCGAACAGAGACCTGTACGGAAGCCTCTGGGATGACATTCGGAGCACATATCCAAGCCACCGGAGGCGGTGTGGCTTTCCAGATGATGACACTCAATGAATGGTGATCTCCACTGTGTGTTCAAACACGCACCACCGAACCTCAGAATTACTCACGGGATGATGATGCCATCCATCGAACTCAGGCAATCCTGCGGAGACAGCGATGATCGAACACAGAGTCGCCGCCGCACATCCTCAGCTCACTTGGAGAGGCCAGGTTTCATAGGCGTAGAGTAAGACAGCCCGCACCGAAGCATTGCATACGCGAAAGCCTTTGACAGCCAGGCTGACGTCGTGACGGCACCAGAGGTGGTGGCTGAACTTGATGTATGCCACCCTAGCCTTCATTATACGGTTGACCTACCATAAAATTCACGTGTGACGCAAACTTTCGCTCAATACTCGGTCTCTGTTCTCTCTCAATTGCGTTTCCACTTCTAATTTCGCCAATTTTGACAAATATTCTATGTTCCTCCAAACCTTGAATCCCAGTTATCGAAAATTGAATGATAAAATTAATACTGGTAAATCTTCAGCTTCCAGATCATATTACTCATCATTCAGCAGTACAACAATGTGAGCGATTTAGGTCTTCCTCAGTTGTCTGCGCTGAAGTAGGTAAAGAAGAGGACGGGAATCTGCATTAGTATCTGTCGAAGTCGAATATTTTCCAACTAATCAATCATAGTCTTAACCAAAGGTTTCTTATTCTATTTCATAGAATGGGGGAATAGTATTTATTTATTTTTATTAATGTGAGCCTCAATGTTCGTTGTGTGTTATTTCTCTTATAATCCCCCTTTATTTTTCCCCCTCTCTTTTAATACCATTAAAAAAAACTCTAAACAATCTGACCGTGTAAACAAGACAGCTCAGTCGTCAATTAGTTGCATTATGGTCTGAGAATAATGATGATGCATGGGATTTATTCAAGCGAATGCTTGTAAGTTTGATTATTATTCTATGCCGTGTCAAGTGTCTGATCTTTTTTGTTGGTTAACCAACGAAATAATTTTGTTTTAATTGATCAAAATTCCCAATAAAAATCTTATTTCTTTCAAAAGTTAAACTTTCGACACCACTAACAACCAATTAGCAAACGACCTTGAACGGACCAATCACATTAAAGAGGCATTTATAGTAAATGGAAACGTATATTTATAGAAAAAAAAGCATAAAAAAGGATAAAACGGATACATGAGGCATCTTTTTCGAACGTGTGAGAGCAAGATCTCTCAGTTTAGCATGAGACTGTCAATGGAGAAGTCATACCACATCCTGTACATATATTCATCTAAATGATTATAAACGAGATCCTTTTGAGATCCATTTATAGCCTTTATCCCCAAAACCCTATAATAGAATTCGTATGAGTCCTCGTAACGGGATCCACCCAGCAATTTTCCACGAAGCAATATCTCTTCAATGCTGGTACCACCAAACTGTTGAGACGAGGCTTTTCTCCGTCTCGGCAACTGCTGGTCTCACCGGCTGCTTCAACACCCAGTAGTTGCAGATATACAAAATCTGCGTTAGGGGAGATGCGACCTAGCGAAATAAGTTCCTGCGAAATAATAAAATTATCAGCTTACTCTCTTTAATGTCAGCACGCTTCAAACAAATAGCACAACGATGAACAAATCCATCAGTTGATCTGATATAGCTTTTTAAAGTCATGATTACCACCACACGAACAAGTTCGCTCCTTTCGGAGCAATCCTAAATCCAAGCAATACTGGAAAACACTCTCCTCCTCGAATTGCAACCATAACCTTGTAAGGTCACGCATTAGAAATGAATCAAGCGCTATACAACATTGAACTACGTTTGTGAATCTCATTGGATAATTCGACGTCGTTCGCTGATTAGTAGTTAGTGGTGTCGAAAGTTTAACTTGGCCAAAGAATGGTTACTGAACAAAGAATATTCACATTTTCGATAACCTGCTCTTCATCAGGTTCTACAAATATGTATAAATATATAATAGTGAATGAATCAGTGTTATTAACAACACAAATAAGACCCACTCTCCAACTCGTCCCCTACATCAAGCTACCCTACTATATATGGGGGATTATAGCAGCTTGGGAGCTAGACAAAGGTCGAACGTTGATGTGGTTAAAAAGACTTTATGCAGCTTATATCATAATAATAATTGAGAATGTGAGGCCGGTATATATCCATCCATCCATCTAAGCCTTTTGAACATGCGAAAAATGTCACACCCCGCGCTGTATCTACCAACTTGAAGAATGTACGTATGGTCACACACACAGGAGGGAGAACTCATCGGTCTCTGCAAGTTAGGACTGCCTTCAGAGTATATTCCTAAATAGCTTCAGAAGCAGATTGAATCTCCAGAACTCATTAATGATGAGAACATGCGACGATCTATCTCCTCTATTGCTTAACATATTATACAGACAGGATATACAGTTGATGCTTACAGGTCTTTTAAATCTATCTATCCATAGAACTCTGTTTGCGTTCAAAAACAACTCATCATCACATTAAACCACCTTCCTTGGTAATCTTTATTTTGATAGCAGTTAGGGTAGACGTACTATTCGGTTGAGTGATCTTCATCGTTATTTCTACCTTTTAAGTTGACCCAAGTAGTCAATTTTCTCACCTCTTGACTCTTTATTAATTTCATATATATTCCTCTCAGCAGTCCATGTGTGATCACATTGTTCGAAATGTTTAACGCAAATACACCTTACACGATTCAGACAAATTACGCCTTCTTATTGCTTTGTCTAAACATTATTGTTGTTTAAATAACATCGAATCAATGGATTACAGTTCATTAGCATCAGCATAACAATACACACTGAATATCAGAAACATGAGGAAAAATAATAATACAAATTCATGAATTTATAGTCTCTACTGAAGGCCGGTCAGGGCAATGGAAGCGACTGGCGCTGGCTAGACCTGTTTCTTCTGAACACAGAACACCGGTTGCTTCGGGCGATTCGCGATAGCGTCTGCTGTTTGGATCATGTGGTACCTGGGGGTTTTCGGCAATTTATTTGGTACCTGGTAGATCATGGAGAAGGATAATTCTTCAATGATGACTTTGTGACCGGTTTGAGCCAGGTGTCTAATATCGAACTGTTGATGGTTTTTACTACTGATATCTTCATAGATTGTGTTGTCTATGCGTTTACTTAGCATATATTAATCGCGAGAATTGGGAAGGCAAGAAACACATTTATCAACTTGAAAACAATCTGGAAATCTTCGTCACTCAACATCAACAACAAAATTCGGTCGGATTTTCAATACAAACGTCAAGTCAGTCAGTTCTTCTATACGGATCAGAAACTTGGCGGGGGATCACAAAGAATATTTCCAACTGGTTGCAGACATTTATCAACAACTGTCTTCGCTCTGTACTGAAGATCAATCGGATGGCTGGTCAGAAACAATCACCAACAAGAAACTATGGGAACAAACCAACAGACGAGAGCCAATAGCCCAACAAATATGCAGGAGAAAGTGGGGATAGATTGGACCCCCGCTGAGGAGGGTGCTGGGTGACATCGCGCGTCAGGCCATTGTTCGAGTGGAACCCTAAAGGAAAGCGGTGAGTGGGTCGTCAGTGCGAGGGTGACATGGAAGAGATTGTGTGAAGAGGAGTTGAGACAGTATGGACTAACATGAATGCAAGTGAAAAGTACAGCAGAAGACAGAAGCAAGTGGAGACGTTCAGTTAAAGCCCTATGTTCTACTAGGAACCCAAGGGGACAATAATAATAATAATCACAACAGTCATGATATCTCCAATTCCAGGTGAATTTTTTTCTTATTCTCCGTGATTATTTCTCAGTAAATGAAAGTAATAGAAACATTATGCTCTATTGACAAATGATGGAAAGTATCCTACAATGTGGAACAGTGGCTGACACGTTTATGCGCTGGACTTCCGACCAATTGGTCCCTGATCCGAAACCCACTCCACCCACGGAGGTTTCGACATTCAACAACCAATTAGTATCACTAGCCCTAACTCATAATAGGTTTGGCGCATTACCAACTTCACAGAATTACAAATAATTGTTGAGTAATATTTCATTTCATCTTACTGAAACTCCTCGAATGAAGGTGTGGTATTCATGTTTTTAAATCTTTGTGGTAAATAGTAATTTTTATCCTGTATGGTAACACTTAAAATGGGTTATTTACTGGGTGTTTTTTCTTTATTTTATTTTCAGCCATTGGGTTTATTATCATTTTTAGAGTCAAGCGAAGAACCACCAGTACAAGTTGTCAATATGCTACCAGCTAGAGACAATTTACAACTGGCTCATGTAAGTAGTGTCTTGTACTTTCCCCCCCCACCACCACCACCTCTTTCTCAATTTTCACTTTTATATGGAATCACTCCACATGATGATGATGATGTAGTGTTTGTGTGTGTGTGTGTGTGTGCGTGTTTTCATCTACAGCTGATGGTCGAGAAAGCTTTTTACGTGCGTATGGAAGTGTTTGGGGATTACTGTTTTCCGGTTGGCCAAATTGTGGACGTTGAGCTTCTTCTTCTTCTTCTTAGAGTATCTGAAACTGAGGAGCATTAATGTTGTGTGACCGCAGAGCTCAAGGGGCAACTGTTGGAGGCTGGTCACATACTGTCTTTTTGAGTTGTTTTTTGGAGTTTTGTGTGTGTGTGTGTGTGTAATATTAAGTCCTTACAGCGGACTATGGACTGCCTCAAGACAATATGGGATATATCATTTTAGGAGTCGACTCTTTCAACTCCGCAACCTCCTCAATCAGAGCGTTATGGTAGTTGGCAGCAATGTGTCGGCCGTTTGCGGAGTTAAATATGTCTATTAAATGCTATGGGGTTTATCAATGATTGTATATATATTTCAATGTGATCATACAATTACTGTCATATTTCAAAGGTATTTAGCATTAGTTTTATCTGAGAGAAGTATGTCTAAGTATGCGCATGCATTGACAATAGATTTTCCTTTGCTTCACTTTGCCTTAAAATATCATAAAATTGGATGTGTGATCCTCGACTATAGTTTTTGTATTCGACTGTATGAAACTATCTGCTATGAAATCAACCTAATCCAACAAAGCAGTATATAAATAAATGTTTTTAGAATAGTAGATGATAGGTGGAAATAAGCTATAAGCCTTGATAATAATGCTAATGATAATAGCCTTATTTCAAAACAGTACTTGTGATACAGAATAGAATTCTCAACATTCCAATACAGTATTATTACATCCAGTTTGTACATTAACAATAAATAATATTCTACTACATAGATTATGGGTAGTCTCAGTTCGTTTTGACAACAACATATTAGCATGTCGCTGGCAAAGCCAAAATTGAACAAAGTGTTTGAAGGTGTTAGAAAAGTAGATGCTAGCATATTTACTGGCGTAAGTGGTAACAAAAAGGTCGAGATATACAGAGTGTGAAAGAACGAAGACAAGTGTTTTAAATAGAGTTTGTAAGGAAGAGAGAAACTAAGGAGCACATAACAGAAAAAAGAGGGAAAGAAAAGGCAAAGAAAGAAAGAAAAAGTTGTACCTATAAATGATATGAGTTGGAAAGACGAGATCCAGTTGTTCTACCGACTATTTAATAAGTTATAGGTATCACGCCTAATGCTTTCTTCTCTGTCGCACAGAACACGAGCTAAGTAGGATATCGTTGAGTTTTTGTACTTGCTAGTGCGAGCATATAGTTTTCTGTATAGGCCTCTGGTCTGTCTGCCTGATGAGATAGATACAAGGGGAGAGTTGTGAATGAAGAGGCTGATCGTGTGAGTTAGATAGATAGAATGGATTTAGCCCAATTTTGACATGAATCCATATGCCTGTCAACCAGAATATTAACAAGCTGGTTAAGTGGCACGTTGCTTACCTTGCCTACAACCTTTATAACACCCTACATAATAAGATATAGTCTTTCTTCAGTAGCCGGCCTTGAAAAAACTAAGGTGGGAACAATAGAGAATAATAAGCAGGATGCAAGAGTTAACGAATCTTAGGAGTAAGGGTTGGGTTGGGTTATTCCAGAATGTCTTAACTTCTTGATGTAGAAGGTAATACGGAATATTTTCTTAGAAATCATCAAGGTATGAGACGACCAGGAAGGAAATATCAGCAGATAGAATGACCCCAAGATACTATTAATTTCCGACTTGGTGTCTGTTTCAGTGCCATCCATCTTTATTGCACACCTTGTGAGTGTTAACCAGTTTTTTTAGGTCAGATTTATGCCTAAAGGTGAAATTAACTGTTTGGCATTTAGAGGGGTTTAAGGTTAGACCGTTTTCCTTGGACCATTGGCTGATTTCTGATAAAAAACCATTTAGTTTGGAGCAGTCACTTTGACACTTGACAGGCAAAGATACAGTTAGGTCATCAGCATATTTGACAAAATTAATGTCATTTGAAGATGGTAGGTAAAGGAGAAAGAAAGAAAAGAGAAGTGGGGAGAGTACAGCACCTTGGGGGACACCAGCTTCAGTGAGCACAGCCGAGGAGGATTTGCCTTTGTATACGGCTTACTGCATTTTAAAACATTCGAGAGTTTTAAAGTCCTTGAAGTTATCAGCTATATGATTAGTAACATTAGAAGTGGTTATAGTAGAAGGAGAGCTTATAAAAGACTGATTAAGAGCGTTAAAATCATAAGAGAGAAGAGCATTACATCGCTTACTATTGCCAGTAATTTCATTGAAAAGTTTCCACATGCTGATAGGAGATTCGCATGATAAAAGTGTATGGTTATAGATAGCATTAAGATTTTTGATTTCAGATTTGATTTGAGCCTTGAAGTTACGTGCAGTACTTATTAACGGTCGTCAGCAGGGTATATCTACAACTTTGAATGCACTTCTAAGACTCAGATTCGCATCACGCAGTGATCTTAGTAGGGTGAACGACTGACCACTTCTACGATTGAGATGGATACAGCAATGTTGTATGGCCAGCCTCCTTGATGCTAACGAATAACCGGTACCGCTGACCATTACCAAAATAGTCACTTGAATAAAAGTTAGACTAAAAACATTATTGATATAAAGATTAAACTTGGGCACTGTTTTTTATATATTTTTTTACTTTCCCGGTTGAACATTAGGCTTCAAGTTACAGACTTGAATGGTATTTATTTTTATTTATGTCCAACCTTCTCTCTCTACCAGTCTTATTTACTGGCCTAGTGAGGTAAGCGAGTGAGTCGGCCGAAGATCGAATCCCGAGCCACATGCGTAATTGGCGACTATTCTACCGCTGCTCCACCAACGCATGCATATAGCACTGTGGTTGATGATTATTCTGTTATGGATAAAATTTTATTTTGACAAAGTCACACAGTGTTATACAGTTATATTTCTTAATGATGATGTTTCGAGCACAATTTATTGCTACAACTCATAATCATATCAATGGAATTAGACCAAAAGCAGTTACCATCATAGTGTAAATCATTTATAATGTGTTAAGAGAGTGGTTAAAAGTGAAGACATCATAATTCTGACGAATAGGGTTGTGACGGCAGTAAGGTAATTTCCTTGGAAGGCTGGCAAGCCAACTGCAACATCCTCCCGCTTCTGTGAGGTATTGGGGTGTATAAAAGTCGGCTGCGAAAATTCTATACCTCGATTGAGCATTTGGATGCCAATCTACTCGTTTGACCTATATATAACTGACCTCACAGTCATTAAGTCGTATTTGGGAAATTCTTATTATTATTTTTCCTAATTAGATCTATGACTGATTTGGTTGGTTTAAATGCCGCTATAATCCCAGCCATGTTAGGAATCCTGCGCATAGCCTCTGGTGTTCTCTTATATTTGTGGCAGCACTGAATTAAATTATGTTGTTCGCCTTGGAATATAAGAATGTAACTTCGTAAGTTATAGGATGGAGGGGGGCATTTTTCCTTCATCCTGTGGGGGATACAGGCAACCTTGGCTCAAACAACCAGATTTTTTCTGTCAGTAACCGCACGCTCCAAGCTTCTGTGTGTGTGGCTCGTATCCAAGTTGGTAGTATGGGATTTGGTTGATTGTTAGCCAGTGTTTCATGCTTTTATTGATTATTCTTGAGTAGAGTACAGAAGGTCGGGTGTGAGGACAAATACTCGCAAACGAAGACATTGGCTAGTGGTCGCGCTATGTCGTGAATTGACAGAAGTTAGAATTCATGGACTGATCATTGGATCAGGTCCCATTGGCCTAATGGTCTACAGTCTTGTCTTGTAACCGTAAGGTCCTGGGTTCTAACCCCAATGGATGCGCACGTGCTGACGAGGAGTCCCAAAGTAGGTTGACAAAACAGCTGGCTGTCGAGTACTCCCTGTGGCTGGTTTTCCAATGTTTCTCTAACTGATATCAGTCAGCTCATGATGAAATCCTGTAACTAATCTTGAGTGGATGACTATTGAGTTTAATGATGAAAGATAATCACCATCACCTCACACACCGTTTAGCTTGATCTTTGTATTTATGTGTACTGAAACATGTTTCCATTTTTGTTCCTGCTTTTCATCTTTCCAATTTTTTCCCCTCTCTTGTTGATTTTCTCAGGAGCATATGATGCGTATTGAAGAACGTAAACAGACTATAACTTATCAATTGGAGACTAAAATTGATGATCTACTTACTCATTGGCGTTTACGTGTTGGTCTGCCTATACCAAAGGTGATTTATTTTTTGTCAGTTACAACTATGTGACATTGTTGATGTACATGCATATTCATATATTCTTCACTACTTTGTTTTTATTAAGTTATATTATGTATTAGTGTTACTCCTTTGGGTTCTGAGTGGAACATACGGCTTAAACAATACATTCTCACTGTGTTCTGCTTTCTGCTGTCCTCTTTAGGTGCCCCCCCCCCAAATGCCCATAATCTCTCATTTCCTCCTCCTCCTCTCACGATCTCTTCTATGTCACTCTTACACTGACGACCCACTCGAACACTGGCCTGAACTAGGCGCGATGTCATTCGGTGGCCTCCTCAGTAGCGTATGCCCGATCCATCTCCATTTTCTCCCTACCTATTTGTTGAGCGATTGGCTCTTGCTTGTTGGTTTGTTCCCAGTCTGAGTTTCTTGTTACAACTTAGTTCTTTCCGTTCAACTATCTGATCATCAGTATGGAGCCAGCGAAGGGGCAGCTATTGATAAAAGTTTGCAACAGGCTGTTGGAAATCATTTTAGTGACTTGTGGTGAAAGTTTTTGACCTGTGTAGAAGAAGTAGTGACTGAATTCAAATTTTGTATTGATGAACACAGTTCAAATCTTGTTCTTTATGCTGACTGAATGCAGAAGATTTCATAACGAGTTTCAGGTTGATTTAGGCATATCTTGCTATAATTAAACTACGTAATATGGGAGATGGAATGGAGACACCTATGATCAATGACATCTGGCTGGACTTTTCATATCCTGAATAGCTCAGTGGTAACGTCTCTGACTGCAGTATTCACTCACTGGGTGACGCGAGTTCGAATCTCAGATGGGACATGAGTTCCTTTAAGGCAGTTGCAGATACGCCTTGGTGACTGGTGAGTGGCAACTAGCACGAAACCTAGGTCCTGGCAAGGTTTCCTGTGGCCGATTGCCTCCAACCATCTAATACCAACAATCCACTGCGCACCGTAATGACGAGCCACCTAGTGGCATGATGGCCAGCCACATTGCAAGCTTAACTGATAGAATTCAGTCTGCACCGAAGATAGATAGGACTAGACACATTATACACTCGTTATTGACTAGTGTGCAATGAAGAATACCTTTCATTCATATCTTCCACTTTCCGTCACTATGTCTCACACGCATAGACTATCGAAGGAGCGAAATGCCCACGCATTCCACACTTCCCTTAGATCGATAGCTAGGCGGCAGTGATCTGTGTACAGCAGAGATGGCGTAAGTTAGTCACTGTGGCACACACGAGCCTTGTTTTATCCGTGCTGAAATTTCGTCAGCTTTTCTTTAAAGTGTGTTTTCTTTTTTGTTGTTGTATGGTACATCATCTCGGTACCTATTATTTTTGCAAAGTCTGTGTTTGAACAATATTCATAATCATATTATTCGTATAAAATCCAGGTCTGTTTTGTTCAATTTAATGCAAACTCGTTTGTGTTTGCCCGTTAGATTACTAAACCGAATCATTTAAAAGAAGCTGAAGAACGTCCTGTTGTCCTTCGACGACCTAGACATCTATTACAATCGTTACGTGGTGGTGATACAGAAAAGCGTCAATCAGCACTGATCAATTGGCGGTTATTTTTCTATCAATTTCAACAAGATCATGCTAAAGCTGATTTAATTTGGACAATGCGTGTAAGTATGTGGGTTCGATTTTCAGTTATAATAATAATTTTGTTCCCTTTGAATTAACTTTCCCGGCAAAGGTGCGTGCTCTGTGTTTCAGACTGTGCGTCAATGGATCAGCCGACCATATACATGGTCCGAGGTTTGAGTCCCGGTTGGCGCACACCTTTACCTCCCCTTCCTTATCCGTTTATAATTTGACAACAAAGAGAGGGGCGGGGTTGGGCGTGAGGTTAGAAATCCTACACAGTAAAAAAAAGACACCACTGTTACTGAAACATCAGATCTGAAGCTTGAAGCCCTGTGTTCCGTTTGGAACGCAAAAGTATAAGAAAAAAATATGTTCTAGGTCATTAGCTAAAATTATTTTATTATACGATGTCTAAGTTAACTAACCAGCTGACTGACTACCTATTTGTCCAGACTGAAGTGGGTAAAATGTTAGTTGAACCTGGGATGCATTGCTGCTGAGAGCTGAATTATATTATTATTATTACTGTTCCCTTTGGTCCCGAGTCTGTCTGTCTGTTTTCGACATAGAACTCTGCACATATGTGCAGCAGTTCACATCGCCACTCTCCACTCCTTGTAGCACACAAATCAAGAGAAGAAAGTAGAAGAAATGCATAGTAGAGACAGTAAACAGAGGTGTGAGACAAAGGAATATTGTAAAAACGAAGAACAAAACAGTTTCATTGGAAGTCATAAGTCACAAGGAGTGGATGCATCTGTACCAGCAATTGAGAACGATCACTTTGAGCCATGTCACCAATTGTTTCCAGCCTTCATCGGTTTTTGCCGTCCCGAGGACACCAACCAATCAGGAAGTCTACACCTTCCTACGTGACCAGCTTAAACTAACTGTTGTGGATTTCATTGAATGGCGCCATGTTTTGGTTTGTATTATGTACTTGTCGCCAAAGTATTGTTATGTACTGGTCGAGAATTTAATAGTCCTGACGCAAGAAAGACGGAAATCAGAAGACCACTAGGTTTGCGATGATACTTCTATATTCCAAACACAAGGAGAATCAATGTCACACAAGAGTGTGAGAGCAAATATATATATATATATATATATATATATAAATGTCCGAAAGTGTGTGAGCGAATATTCAAAATGAACAAATCAATAGGCAGTCTTAACATGACTGGCTAATTATAATGGAATATCGATCCATATATACATAGCAAATATACAGACTGTCAAACAAACATATTATGTGGATATATATCAGCTTGACCGCCGCCAGCTCTTTTCTAGCCTGACCCTATGTCAGCTAACATCGCCCTTCGGTCGAGAAACGTAATGACTAGGCATACGTAACACATGTCTTAACCATCACAGGTTCGTCGATTGATTTTCCCTCCCACCTACCTAGCACTCTACGCCTAAGCTGAATGTTGCTCACGTTATTATACCACTTCATACGGGAGATAGAAAGCAGGCACCTATCGTCAAAGACAGCTAGCTAGCCTTTTCATGTCTTCCACTCTCAATAGCCATGTCTCAATCACAGCCATAAAGGAGGACGGAGTGGACTGATGAGCAGTACACCCGCGGTTTGGTCGATAGTCGGATATCACGTCTACGCCAGAGACGGCGTAAACTGGCATATGCGAAACCAGCCCTCTGTATCCGTACTCAGCTGAGATTTCGTCAGAGATCAACCCGTTGGCGTTGGCTGATGGTACTTCCTTAATAAGTGAAGCGGTCAACGTGCTCTACCACTTCACTTCCTATTTCTAATCTAGGAGTCAGTGTAGTCCAGTTCTGTAACATCATCGTGCATTTGTCTTCATCTTCATCTCTATTATCTTGCCTCCATTCCACTGATGCAATTCCTGTACTTGACGGCTCTCCACTTGGTCCCGAGTGGAACAACATAACACATATTTAGCCACATAGAAAATCCCAATGCAATTATTAATCTGAATAGAAAGCCATCATCATCATTATCCATTGCGAAGCAGTTATTGTTGTCAGGTCAGGTCACAAAATCAATATTAATAATGACTGACTGCTTAACAATTATTTCACCACATAACTCTAACTCAAGGTCGGTTATTATAAGCTGGTAGAAGCACTTTGAATTGATCGCATACACCCTAAAGTATATGTGTATACAGTCAAAACAATAGACTTCAACCTTCTTTTGCCTACCATGGACTACTTTATCTATTTAAGTACGTGGTTAATCATTAGTATGTACTTTTGTTTTTTATTTAACTGAGTAATTGTCATGCATTTTATTTTATTGATTGGTTGGAAGATTTCATCATGAGCTGACATCGGTTAGAGAACCATTGTGACACCAGCTGCAAGTACTGGGTAGCTGTTTCGTCAGTCTGGTTTTAGGACTCTTCAGTAACACGCATCCATTGATAGGAGTTCGAACCAAGTACCTTCTGGTTACAAGGCTTGCAAGCTCGTGGACCATTGAGTCACTGGGACCCCGATCCAATAGTTAATGAACTCCAACTACTGTTAGTTCAAGACATAGCGCGACCACTTAGAAATGTGAACCATGTTAGTTGTGTAAGGTGATTGTAAAGAAACTACGAAATGGCGACATCATCTGTCGCGAAATTTGTCTTCTAATAACCTTAATCAAATTTTCAAAAAATGAGACAAAACTGTTAGGTTGACTGGCATTTGCTTTTACTTTTGCAAATTTTAAATCCTGTTTTATATGAAGATTCAGGTTTTCTTATGGGCAATTTACCTTCAGTAACACGGTGTAACACTATTATCGACCTCCTAATGGAGAACAAACAACAATGGTTGAATAAGTATAGTGTCGTTAACAATAATCGTTTATTTCCTAGAAACCTTTTATTTCTAAATTTGAACAAAGCAAGAACAACAATAGCACCAGGATAATATGAGCTCATCTTTTATTATTTCGAGGATTCTTCTCAACTGGTTACAACCTGAACGATAAAAAAGAATATGAATTACATTGTAGATTTAAACATACTTTTCCACGATCATAAGGAGTAATTGGTGGTAGGAATTAAAAGTAACATTAGTCCGGAATGATTTAACTGATTTTCAGTTACAAACACTGACTATTTATAGAATAATTAGACAATTAGGCTTGGAAACAAAAAACAGGGTTGCGTATATATATATATATATATATATATATGTGTGTGTGTGTAGAAACAAGATTTAGCTAGAAAAAGCATAAGAAAAAAGTAGATTGCGATGTGAACTGCTGCACATATGTGCAGAGTTCTATGTCGAAAACAGACAACAGACAGAGTGTAGTGACCATCGAATGTATCGACCATCTCCATCTTGTTAGCAGGCACTATCTTGATAGGCAACAATGGTTGACTACCACTCATATAATAAAAGGTGGTATATATATATATATATATATATATATATATATATATATATATATATTGAACTTTGCCATTGTTGCTTGCCTTTCCAAGTCTTAACCTTTTCTCTCTTCTCTCCATTTCCGTTTTCATTCTTTTGTGTGTGTGCGTGTGTTTTATCAAATATGATCACAACATTTTTTACCTATTCGAACTTCTGTTTTTGTAGAGTTATTTTTTTTCTTATTACGTCATTGTTTGTGATAAATTTGTAAGAATTATTTTTGTATTTTGTTGATGAAATCTACATCCTCTTTAGATTGTTGTTATCTAGTAGGAATTTTTATTTATTTATTTATTTAAACGCATAAAAAACTTGGTACAATATGGCACCAAGAAAGATGCGCCACACAATAATAATAAAACAACATAGATCAAAAAAAAGGAAGGAAATAAAAAATATATATAAGTAGAGAACGGATAAAGAACTTCATCTGGAAGGAAAACAGTCATGCTTAACAAGTTCAAACAGTGTTCGTTAGCTATCATCGGGAAGGGAAGAAAGAAGGAAATCGCAACACATTCGCCACTGATTACGATTCTTGGCCATATCCGATAACGTTTCGAGCCATCGATTTGAGCTATCTCTCGGACCCCAACCAGGGAGTCGTGACACACCAACCGATGCTAATCTAGCACAAAAATCCTTCATCCCACGACGCCACGTCATGGACTGACCACCTCTCCGCCTTTTCCATCCCGTCCCAGGGCTAGCGAACAGAGACCTGTACGGAAGCCTCTGGGGTGACATTCGGAGCACATGTCCAAGCCACCGGAGCCGGTGTTTCCAGATGACGACATTCAATGAATGGTGATCTCCACTTTGTTCAAACACACGCCGCCGAACCTCAGAATTACTCACGCGATGATGCCATCGAACGCAAGCAATCCTGCGGAGACAGCGGTGATCGAACACGCAGAGTCGCCGCACATCCTCAGCTCGGAGAGGCCAGGTTTCACAGGCGTAGAGCAAGACAGCCCGCACCGAAGCATTGTATACCCGACCTTTGACAGCCAGGCTAACGTCGCGACGGCGCCATAGGTGGCTCAAGTTGATGTATGCCACCCTAGCCTTCATTATACGGTTGGAAATCTCATCCGTCACCCCTCCGCCAGCACTCACACAACTACCCAGGTACACAAACTTATCAACAACTTCAAGCGGTTCACCCGCAAGAGTGAGTGCAGGTACAGGCTCCTGCCAATCTTGTAACAGTACTTTGCACTTAGACGGCGCAAAGCACATACCATACTTACAGACACTGATCGCCAACTGATTAAGTGCGATTTGGGCAGCCTGCATGCTATCGCACAGTAAGACGATATCGTCTGCATACTCGAGGTCGAAAAGTCTATCTCCAGGTAGCAGATCTACACCACCTTCACGCACATCCTTCAGAGCTGACTCCAGAATGTCATCGATGGCAAAGTTAAAGAGAAATGGAGAGATTGGGCAACCCTGTCTAACCCCACTGTTGGTTGGGAACAGTGGTGATAGTTGGTTGTATGCCCTCACTCTACCTGAGGTGTTTCTGTATAGGGCTTTCAGGATGTTAACAAATTTCTCAGGTACACCTCTCTCTAACAGACAGTTCCAGAGCACAGTTCTGTCCAAC